CCTCTCTGCTGGGCAAGCTGATTGTGTGGGGCGCGGACCGCGACGCCGCCATCAACCGCATGAAGCGCGCGCTCAACGTGAGGGCTGCTGCTGCTGCGGGGGCCTGGCGGCTGCGCGCCGCGGCTGCCTGCCCGCGCAGCGCAGGGCGGAGGTCCACAGGGCCGCCCGCTGCTCTGCGCCTCGCCACGCCACCCACGCGCGCATACCTCCCACATACACCGCGCGCCCATCCCCTTGAGGCTTGCAGGAGATGGTGGTGAGCGGCGTGCCCACCACCGCACCCTTCCACATCCTCATCCTGGAGAACGAGGCCTTCAAGGCCGGGGACGTGGACACAGGGTTCATCGTCAAGCACGCCGACAGCCTCAAGGTGCGAGCGGGGCGGGCAGGGAGTTTGGGGATTGTCGGGGGGTGCATGAGGCAGGCAGGTTGCAGGGGCCCAGGGGGCAGCTGGCGCCTGCCGGGGCTTGCCCTGCCTGCGCAGGCATGGCTGGCGAGGGGAGGGGAGGGGAGGGGAGGGGTGGGCGGCGTCCCGTAGCTGCCCGCACGCTGGGCATCTGCGGTTGGCGGGCGGGGAATGGCCAACCCAACCAGCACACCCGCTCCTGCTCCCTGCCCCCTGCAGGAGCCCCCCAAGATGAAGAACATGAGCCTGGTAGCGGATGCGGCCAAGCGCGGGGCCGCCCGCCGCAAGTCGCACGCCAAGTGATGCGGCCGCCAGCATGCGCCACGGGCCCATAGGCTTGCAGGCCCCCACCCACCCACCCACCCACCAACTGCCTGCACTCTGCTGGACTGGCCACCCCGGCGCCGGCGCTGCGCTGCGCGCTGCGGCCGCCTTTGAGAGTTGAAGATGCTATGTACCCACCCCGGCCAGCCATGTGCGCCCCGTGTCGGCCTGCCTTTCCTTACTGCACCCGTGTGTGAAGAAACTGCTGCCTGAAGAAACTGCTGCACCCCGCACCTGTTGTACTGGGCTAGCGTGTTGCCCGCCCCCCCACCCTGTGTCTGCTGCTGTGCCCGTGTGTGAACTGTTCTCTCTGCTGCCCCACCCACCCGCCCGGGGCAGGTTTTCCCCCTCCACAGCCTTCACCCCAGCAGGCCCTGAATTCTTGCACACCAATTTACAGCTTTGCAAAGCTCCGCACCCCAAACGCACGGAAGGCAGCCAGGGCGGCCGGCGCCAGTTGGGCTGCTACAGCCCTAGGCGGCGCAGCTGCTGCGCTCGCAACCGCACCACCGCAACGGACACCAGCGCTCCGACAGCACACATGGACAGGAACGCCGTCGCCGAGATGCGGGCGTGCGGCGTGCAGGCGTGGTGCTGCGTGATGGTGCTGCCCTCCTTGAGCTGCCCCTTGGAGCGGCCGTCGCCGTCGCTGCTGCCCAGCTCTCGTTAAACTCAAACTCGCCGCCGTGATCCGCCGCCGCCACCAGGCACGCTCCATGGCGTACCCGCCTGATGTGCGGCAGTGCTCGTTCAGGCGTAGCACGCCGCAGGGCTGCGGGGCGGGCGGGAGGAGGGGAGGCGGAGCAGGGAGGGTGAGAGGGCAGAGACGGGTGTCGGTGCAGCGGAGGTGGCAGCAGGCAGCGGCGCGGCTCCTTGGCTCACCTGGCACCGGCTTGTCGTGTTGCAATACAGCCACTGGGTAGGAGCCTCGGCCTCTGCGCCCTCTGCTGTCATATTCTTGCCCTTCCCAGCTGCAGACGGGAGAGAGGGGCGGGGGCGGGGGTGGCGGCGGCAGCGCCTTGACCGGTGCCTGCGGCAGCCCACCCTCATTGCACACAGCATCCCTAGCAGCAGAACCATGAACCGCTGTCCTTTGCGCTTACCTGCGGACTCGACAGACGCGATGGAGCCCAGGAGGCCCACTGCAAGCAGCAACAGCCGCACCATGGTTTGATGATCGCCCATCGCTCAATGCCATCCTAGGGTGGTGGAGGTTTGGTTCAATGGCGGCCGCCCGTACAGCCGTCCCGCTACCGCCATTGTGCGCGCCATGGCACCACAGCAGCTTCTTATTCTCAAGTCACCCTCTTCAATTTTGCATTGATGAGTCGTTATAAATCATCCAGAAGGGTGGCTGAACTGTGGGTGATTCGCCTGGAGCAAGCAGAGGGAGCGGGAAACGGAAGCAGCGACAAAAGCGAGCCTACAGCAAACTAATGCTGGAAAGCGAGCACCTATCTGGGCAAGTCATAATTGCCCGGCGGAATTGAAGTACAGTCACAGGGAGGCATGGTAAGACGACAGCGGAATTGGGCTCGGCGCAGCTCAGCAGATGGACGTGCAGCGTGCCGACCACGCCGCCAGGCAAGGTCCCGGCCTCAGCCTCCCCGCGCGCGCTGCTGGTGGTCCAGTATCCTCTGGATCAGGTCGTCCTTCTTGCCGCTCACAGTCAGGTTCCAGGCCTTGAGCACGTTCTGCAGGTCCTTGATTGTCTTCATCTGCAGGCCCAGCTTTGAGAAGCCAGCCTGCGCCGGGTCGGGCACGCTGCTACCGCCACCTGCCGCGCCGCTGGGCCCTGCGCCGTCGCCGGCGGCCGCGGCGGGGCGCTTGGCGGGCCGGCTGCCCTCTGCCTCCTCCACAGGGCGCTTGCCCTTGTCTGCAGGTCGGGGGCAGCAGCAAGGTCGGGAGGTGTTGGTGACAGCCAGCGGGAGGTGAGGGCGCTGCGCGGGCAGCAAGCTGAGCGCAAGCTCAGCGGGTGCTACTGCTGCTCGCACTGCGACAGCAGGAATGCAAGCTGCTGCAAGAACGCAAGCCACAACAACCTGCCAACCGCCGTGGGCCGGCTCCCCGCCGCCCCGTGCCGCACCTGCTGCCCGCGCCTGCTTGCGCTTGGCCTCCTCCTTGGCCCGCTTGTTCTGCAGCGTCTTGATGAGGATGTTGGTGGTGTCATTGCGCACCACCTGCTGCGGCGTCGTGTCGTGGTCGGCAATGTACACGGTTGGCGGCGACGAGAAGGCGGCGCCCGGCTGCACCGCCACCAGCGTGCCCCTGCGGCCGGGCGCGGGCCGGCAGAGCGCATGGGTGATGCTGCTGGGGCGGATGAAAGGTGCCGACAGGCCTGTGGAGCGCGTTTTGGCGGGGTTGCCATGCTATGGCGGTGTATACGGAGGCATCCCTCTTCTCACCTGGACGGAAGGTTGTCTAGGAACCCCGCCAGGCTCATGCTGCCCGGCTGCTGGCCGCAGGGTTGCGGGAGGCTCGGTCGATCGCGAAAGTTGCTGCCACTAGCCCCAAAGACCTGTTGGATAGACGAGATGCAGTGTGATGGAGACTTACAGGAACTACGGTTGTCCTGCAGCGCAAAATGTGGCAACAAGGAAATGCAGAACCACCAAGGTTGGGCCCAACTTGGCTCCCCGTTGCACATCGCCGCTTTCATTCCCACATGGTGCGCACCAGGAGATCATCACATGCCGCCCCGCTGCGAGTGGCCTTCTGCCACCCCGACTTGGGCCTGGGAGGTGCGATGGAGCCTGGCCGCCCTGCTTGAGGGACCAGCAGGCTGAGGCATGGGTCTGATGCGAGCCGGCACTGCGATGGCGGCCTGCAGGGGCGGAGCGGCTGATCGTGGACGCGGCGGTGGAGCTGGCGGGGCACGGGCACACGGTGCGCCCAGGGAGGACAGCACAATTCAGCACAGCACCCTGCCACAGCCCAGGCTGCTGGTGGGGAGGGCATGAATAATGGCCTGCATATGAGCGACTCCCGCCAGCGCCTGGCTGCCCGCTTGCCCCGCCCGAATATCCCCCCGAATTGCCGTGTCCCCTTGCGCCGCCGCAGGTGGATGTCTACACCGCCTTCCACGACCCGCGCCGCTGCTTCGAGGAGACGGTGTCGGGCCCCTTCTCGGTCACCGTGGCGGGCGGCTGGTTCCCGCGCCACGTGGCGGGCCGAGGCCACGCGCTGTGCGCCTACATCCGCTGCACGCTGGTGGCGCTGCACATCGCGTGGCTGAGCTGGCGGCGCGGTACGCAGTACGATGTGGTCTTCGTTGACCAGGTGTCGGCGGTCAACTGGGTGCTGCGGTGGCTGACCGCGGCCCGCATCCTCTTCTACTGCCACTTCCCTGACCTGCTGCTGGCGGCGCGCCGCTCGGCCCTGCACGCCGCCTACCGCGCGCCGCTAGACTGGGTGGAGCAGGCCACCACGGGCGCGGCGCACCTCATCCTCGTCAACAGCGCCTTCACGCAGGGTGGGTGGGGGCATTATGTGTGTGTGTGTGTGTGTGCGCGCGCGCATGTGTGTGTGTGACGGTGCCTGTTATGCAGGGGACAGGTGAGAATGGGAGGCGGGACGGGGACAGGCTGTGGCAGTCCATTGGGAGCGCTGGCAGGGGTTAACGGGCTGCCTGCGTGTAGCAGAAGTACTGCACTGCACTGCATGCAGCTGCGCCCACCCGGCTCCTGCCCCTCCTGGCTCTGCGCAGGCGTGTTTGCGCAGACGTTCCGCCGGCTGCATGCCCGTGGCATCCGGCCTGGCATTCTGTACCCGGCTGTCAGCATCCCCGCTGCAGAGGAGCTGCAGGAGGCAAAGGCCAGCTGGCGGGAGGGGCTGCCGCCAGAGCTGGCGCTGTTTGTGGGCGGCGGCCCCACCTTTTTGTCCATCAACCGCTTTGAGCGCAAAAAGGTGGGTGGCAGGCGCGAGCAGGCATGGCTGCTGCGCTGATGCAAGGGCCTGCTCATCAGCAGCCGGGGCGGCGCCTGTCCGCAGCGGGGCGGGTGCTGCTGCTGGCGCTGCTGCTGACTGGCTGCCCTGCCACTGCGCCTGCTGCTGCTGACTGGGCTGCAGGGCATCGGGCTGGCGATCGAGGCGCTGCGCGAGCTGCGGCAGCGGGGCCCGCGGCACGCCGCCTGCCGCCTGGTGCTGGCCGGTGGCTACGACCCTCGGCTGGCCGAGAATGTGGAGCACCTGCGGGAGCTGGAGGAGCTGGCGGAGCGGCTGGGGGTGCGCCGCCAGGTGCACTTCCTGCCCTCCTTCTCAGACCGCCAGCGCGCCTGGCTGCTGGCGGCCTGCGTGGCGGTGCTCTATACGCCCCAGCGCGAGCACTTTGGCATCGTGCCGCTGGAGGCGATGGCGGCGGGGCACCCCGTGGTGGCCTGCGACAGCGGCGGCCCCAAGGAGAGCGTGCTGAGCGGGCGCACCGGCTTCCTGTGCGAGCCGCAGCCGGGGCCCTGGGCCGATGCCATGGAGGCGCTGATGGCAGGCGGCGCGGCGGAGCGGCTGGGAGCCGCGGCGCGGCAGCACGTGCAGAGCAAGTTCTCGCGGGCCGCATTTGGGCAGGAGCTGAACCGCTGCGTGGTGGAGCTGGCCGCGGCGCCCCGGCAGCGGCGGCAGCAATGAGGGGAAGAAAACACCTTGCGCCATTGATGCTGCCCCGCGACATCGAATTGCAATCCCAGACTGTTATTAGTTACTGCAAACGCTGCCAGGCGGAGCCAGATGGAGTCGAACAGTGCAGGCCCTTTGACCGACCTGAGCGCCCGGCTGAGCAGTCTGGCCGATCTGCTGGGCGGCGGGCAAGCAGCAGCAGTGTCGAGCAGGCAGCCGGATGACGCGCAGCGCCCCGGCTCCCCTGGCAGGACGGGGCCTGTTGGCCGCCGCCGCGCTGCGCCGGCGCCAGCTCCAGCCCCTCTGCGCCCTGCCACCACACCTGTGCTACGCTCTGCCAACGCCTACGCCAGGGACGCGCCCCTGGGGGGCCTGCTGCAGCGCTACCGTGATGCAGAGGCCGGCTGGCTCAAGGTGTGGTTGTCGGCGGTGGGGCACGGCCACGAGCACCCCCCACTGCCAGGTGCAATGCTGGCTCCACCCTTGCCCTGACTGGCTGACGTGCAGGAGAAGGGCAAGCTGATGCTGGCGGCAGATGGGGAGAAGAAGCGGCGGCTCAAGGCGGAGGCGGAGCTAAGGCGGGTGCAGCAGCAGCTGTCGTTCCGGGTGGGCGAGGTGCAGCACCTCAAGACGGGACTGCGGTCAAGGGACTGCGAGCTGCAGGACCTGCGCGACCGCCTGCGCGAGTATGAGCTGGCAGAGGGCGGGGAGCGCACGGCGCAGGAGGCGGTGGCACAGGCGCAAGGTGAGCCTGGACACTGGCAAGTCCGGCCAGGTCGCTGCAGCAATCACAGCCTCAGCCCGAGCGCATCTTGCCCTGCCACGCTGCATGGCTAGCAGCATGGTGCTACAACCGCCTCGTGACTCCATTCACGGTTTTGCCCCTGCACGCGCTACCTGCCTGCAGCGGAGCGGGATGAGCTGCGGGCGGCCATGGCAGAGGTGCTGCAGCGCCTGGACGCCGCCAATGACGTGATTGGGCGCGCCGACAGCAGCATGGCCAGCCTGGAGGCGCAGCTGGCGGCGGCGACGGCGGAGCGGCAGCGGGCAGAGGACGCGGAGCGTGCTGCGCAGGCGGAGGCGCAGCAGCTGCGGGAGGCGGTCGCAGACATGCAGGTGATGGCCTGATGCTGCTGCTGCACTAGCTGGTTTGGAGGGTGCTCAGCTGTGCTCGCCAGGAAAGCGGGGATGGACAGCCAACCGTTTGCTGTGCCTGGCTGCCTGTGCAGTGGAAGTGCGGCCTCCTTCAGCGACTGTCAGACCTGACAATGCAGCAGAACGAGGAGAAGACGGCCACACTGCAGACGCTGCTGGAATCGGAAAGCATGCTGGATGGCGATGGGGAAGCGGCTGGCGGCGGCGGTAGGGCGGGCGGCCCGTCGAGCGATGATGGCATGTGCTGATGCGGGGGATTCCCATGGCATGTATATCTGGCAGATGCGGCCAATTGCCACCATGAGTCAGCTCTGATGTAGTACACTCCATGATGCGGCAAGCGGCCACATGAAAGTGCCCCATCGACAGCGTTTGTTACCGCGCGTGCGGCGTCTCCGGTTGTGCAAGCAAAGCATGAGCCGCTCCGCAACTTGGCGCCGGCCAGCATTCCTGTTTCTTAGTGCTGTTGAGGTCAGCCCCCAGGCACCTGGGCTTCTGCACAGGCTGGGTCATTGGTCACCACAGGGCGGCGGCAAAGTCGGCACTTGGCCCACGGCGCCGCCTGGGCAGACATGGGGGGGGTGTCTTCTTCCACCCATGCACGTTCCTCAATCCATGCATGGTTCGTCCATGCATGTCCATGCATGTCTGCCGATCAATAAGGATGGATATGATGCAGGCAACGGTACTTAGAGCCTGTGCATCGCCAAGCGGGAACCGCCAGATGTGATCGTTGAGGGGGGCTGTTGAGGGGGCTCCCACCATGAAACCGATTATGGACTTCTCCGGTGGCAGACTTTGTGGTGCTGCAAGCGATCTCAAGAGTCAAGGGGGCAGTCACATAGAAGCTGATCCTCTGCAGCGCGCGCAAGGGACGGCCGGCCCGCAGCCAAACTCCCTCCCAACGCCCGTCCAGCGGCTAAATATGTTTACAGTCATCACAGTGAGTGTATTCAGCAATGCAGACCCGTTGCCAGAGCTGAATCGGGCCTCCCTCATTCAGCCACGGTGTCCCCCACAGCAACGCCATCAGCAGGCAGACCTCCGGTTCCCTCGTTTCACCCACGATCTGGGCGCGTCGCGGCGCCCTATCATCAGTTCAGCACCGTGGCGTGCTTCAAACTAATCGCGGCCATACATTTGCAGCGTCCGCAGGTGAGCACACCCGCATGGGCGCGCCGCAGGCCTCCCGCACCCTCGCCTGTGGCTCAACCAGCCTGAGCGGGGCTGTGGAGGCCCTGCGCCCGCCCGCTCTGGCCTCAGCGGGCACTTGTGCAGCAGCCTCATGGCCAGCACCTGATACGGCCTCGCCCACACTCCCCAGGCCCGCCCATCGCTCTCCTGCACCTCCCATACCATCCGTGAACTTCCTCGCTGCGGCGTGCAGGCACAATGACAGCGGACGGTCATGACCCGACCGCTGTGCATGAAGACCCCGCCAGCCCCACCTACGGCGAGAAGCAGGACGTGCTGTCCGACCTGCCAGCCGGCATAACCTCGGTCCAGCTGGGAGGGGCGGGGGGCAGCGGCTTCTACGCCTTTGGCGCCCAGATGCCCAACCCCTTTCAGGAGCGGGCGGCGGACCCCTTCTCCGCCCGCCCCTCGGTGGACATCCGCCGCTCCGTGGACGGCCGCATCTCCGTCGACTTCCGCCGCTCCATCGACGCCCGCGGCAAGACAGACATTGACCGCGGAGTCAGCGGTGTGATCGGTGCGTGCGCGGCCCGCCGCGGTGCTGCACCGCTGGCATGCCCCGCCACATGTGCCCTGCTTTTGCTTTTTGTGCTTACAGTCTGCATATCCGCAAAGGAACTTGCGACACAGACGCTGTCCATATGCGCAGCACCCCGAGGGCTCCCGCCTGGTGCCCCTGCCTGCCCCGTGTCACCCCCCCTGCAGTGCACGACCTGCTGCACCTCACCAGCGACCCCCGCGTGAAGCAGCGGCTGATGGAGGCCGACGCCGACAACGACGGGCGCATCAGCCGCAAGGACATCCTGAAAGTCATGCACAGCGAGATGTCGGCCAAGCAGCGGCTCAAGTGGGGCCTCATCTCGGGGGGCATCCTCCTCGTCTTCTGCCTGCTGATGCTGGCGGCCAACGCGGCGCTGACCTACACCGTGGTGCGCATGAGCCAGGAGACGACGGTGCAGAGCAGCGGCGTGATGACGGACAAGGCCGGCAACAACATCATCGGTGCGGGAGTGGGAGCAGGGGTGGGCTGGGCTGGGCTGGGCACAGAAGCCTGGCCGCTCCAGCCGTTGCCAGCCGCATGCTTGTTGCTCCCCTGGATGCCCCCTCGCCTCATGTGGCTCCGCCCTGGCATCCCCGCCCCCGCCTCTTCCAACCTGCAGGCACCGCCTCCACGGCGGGCGTGGTGGACCTGCTCTACGCTCACTACAGTCCAGCAGAGGCCTCGGCCGCGCTGCTCAGCCTCAAGTCCCTGGTCATAACGGCCGGCAACGGCACCGCCGTGTCGGTCTACCAAGTGCTGGCCGCCACGCTGGTGCCCGGCCAGCGCCTGGACTTCGTCGTCACAGCCCCCGCCGCCGCTGCCGCCGGCGCCAGCGCCAACGCCGCCGACCTGATGCGCATCGTCATTGACGACGCCGGCGTGCACGAGGTCCGCTCGGGAGCGCAGCAGGCCGGCCGCCGCCTTCTGGTGGCCGCCACCACCGCCGGCGCCGCCAAGACCGTGCAGGGGCTGGTGTACGACGTTACCGCGCCCACCTGCAGTGAGTGCCTGTGCTGCTGGGGCCTGGGCCCTGCTGCCCGTTGCGCTAGGACCCGTCGGCATCCTTCCTGCCCTTCCTCCCCATCCTGCCCGCTACCCCGCAGCCGTGTGCGACAGAGCATTGGTCGGCTCGCTGACGTCGACATGTGTGCCTCCTGCAGGCACCGGCTCCTGCGGCGGCGCCGCCAGCCAGATCAGCTGCCCAGAGGTGCCCACCTGCGGCGCCAACGGCAAGCTGTACATCAGCCCCTGCGCGGCCATCGCGGCAGGCACCACCGTGCGCTGCACCAACTGCGCGCCCATGTGCACTGGTGAGCGGGGGACGCACCATGGCGCTGCCGCCGCTCGTGCCTGGCTCCACCTGCACCTGCCGCACCTGCCGGCAGTGCCGTGCTCTGTGCCCTTGCGGCGCACTCACGCACCCAACCCACTCCCTGGTGCAGGCAACAACAGCGGCGGCCTGCCTCGGCCCGGTGGCCTGCCCGGCAACCTGGCCGTGGATGGCGGCAGCAACTACGTGCGCACCTCGCCGCCACCCCCGTCACCCGCCAACAGCGGCGGCAACGTGGCGGCCGCGGGCGCCAAGCCCACGCAGACGCAGCCCGTCAAAAAGGCGGCCAGCGTGCGGCGCCCACAGAACACCCGCAAGAACCCGCCCCCGGCCAAGGCTCCATGAGCCAACGTCGGGTGGCCTGTGCAGGCCGTGCCAGCCAATTCTTTCCCATCCTTTCATTTCTCTTTGTCGCTTTGCTCAGCTAACACTCCCCCTGGTGCTCGTCCCTCTCTCTCTTGCCCTGCGAATTCCTCCCGACATCCTTCGCTTTCATTGCTGGAGCCCCTCTGCCTCTGCCAGGCTGTTCAGGGAAGCTGCCATCAAGAACACACTCACCCCAAGCCTTCCGTCAAATCCCTGAGCCTGGTTGCAAGCGACTCTGCCCCCCTCTTTCTCTTTTTTTCCCGCCCTTGAGGCAAGTTGCCTGCCTGGCCTTGCCCTGACTTGCCCCACAACCATCGCACTGCCAACGCCACGGCCAGCCCAACTTTCCCAGGGGCCGGCTTGCCTGCGTTCTGAGTTTGGTGCCGAGGCCGTCTGCGGGAACCGTCGCCCTGCTGCAAAGGGTCTTCCAACCCTGCGGTGCCGCCGACGCCTGCGTGCCGCCTCCACCCAAACGCGATTTTCTTTCCTGCTTTTCGCTGCCTGTTTTAACCTCTCTCCCTCCTTCCTCGCACTTGTGCATCCCTTCCCCATTCCTTGCCAAGATCCCTTTAGCACACAATAATTTCCACCAGCACAATACGATGGCGATCTGTAACGCAGCATGCGAGCGCGGAGGAGATGCCGGCGGGTGATCACACATTGGCCGCAAACTGGCCCAGCATGTTGCCGGCCGGGGAGTACCTGCACACGATCTGCACGCCGCTGCCGCAGCGCGCCCAGCCGCAGCCCACCGAGGTGCTTCCCCTCCAAACGATCTGCGGAGCGGCAGGAGGCAGCAATTCTTCGTGAGGCTCCTGCTGCGGCCTGGCAGGGCGGCAGCGGCCTGGTCCCTTGGACTCGCCTGGGTGTAGTGGCCGGTGGCCTGGGTGAAGGAGGTGCAGGGGCAGTACCTCTCCTCCGCCAGCCACATGTTAACGGCGTCGGAGCAGGTGGCAGGAGCACTGGAGCGGTACAGGTTCTCGCCCAGCCCAGAGTTGGAGTGCTGCAGGCGTGGAGGGCAAACGCAAGGCAAGCTGAGGAGCCGGCTGGCGCGCTCGCCCGGGGAGTCGGGGAGGCACAGACTCGCGCCACGAAGGCAGCGGCTGCCATCCAACGCAGTGCTCCAAGATGCTCCAAGATGGCCAGCACCCACCTGGAACACGCAGCCCTGGGCCCAGCTCTGCGCGCCTTGGGCCAGGCTGGCAGTCCAGGACAGTGGCGCGGTGCCACGCCGGGTGCGTGCGGCGTTCATGGCATCCAGCGCCTTCTGGGCGTCCTGCAGTGGCGCGGGCAGGGACCAGGCAGTGTGATGTGGTGGGTGCATGCTGGTTGCAGTAGCAGCAGCAGTGGGAACAGCTCCCCACGGACTGACTCAACCGGGCAGGAGCCGCTGTTGGTGCTGGGCATGACTGGCGATGTGGTGGGGGTCGTGGGCTGAGGTGCAGTGGAGGTGGTGGGCTGCTGGGGGGCGATGGGGGTGGTAGTGGGTGCCACCGAGGTGGGGTTCTTCCAAAAGCTGGGCAGCCAGGAGGCCCCTGCAGATGCAATCGCTAGCGCATGACAGCAGCAGGGACAGCAACTGGGGGGCCACCGCAGCAGCAGCGGCCAGGGCTACGTGGCGTGGGCAGCAAACCAGTGCGGGAGAGGGGCGTCGTGGCTGGGACGTTGTTGACCGTGGCGGCGTTGCCGAGCGCCAGCTGGGTGGTAGAGGAGGCAGAGGAGGAGGCAGAGGAGGTGCCTGCAGGTAGCCCGGCGGGAAACAATGACATCTGGAAGGCGTAGAAGCGCAGCTGTCGCCAGCTGCGCACGCATGTTTGACCAAGCGTATGACCGCAGGGCAGTCGATTGTCCCTCCCACCTGAGCGGCTGAAGGTTGTGGAGGCCACACTCGCCGTCTGATGCAGCCCACGACCTGCAAGCAGGAGTGGGGCAGGTGCAGAGCAGCGGGTGAGACGCCGCCGGGCAGAGTGGCGTGCAGGCGGCTGCACTTGCTACAAACGCCCCAGCAGCCCACCCCCAGCCCACCATTGGCCAGCGGCATGCCAGCCAAGAGGCAGGCCGCAGCCAGGCAGAGCAGGGCGCTGTAGTTTGCGGAGGCCATCGTTTCGTGTGGAGGCAGTGGCGAGGGTGGTGCCAGCAGGGGATGTTGAGAGTAAGGAGAGTCTGGTGAGAGTGAGGAGAGGCTGCCTAGGCGGGGTGGAGTGGAGCAAATGAGCAAGGCAGCACTGGACACGGCGGTGCTTTCCTCAGCGAGCCTCCCATGCACTGGTGGGACTGCTGGGAAGAGGACGGAACACTCTGGACCAAGGCCTGCTGGGTGAGGGTTATAATTATGGAAGCCATCAGGGAGGGCAGAGACGCCGAGCGCTGGTGCGCCGCTGGCCGCTGTTTGGCAGTGCACCTGCACCCACGTTTACTGTCAAACATATGATCTAGCAGGGATTGTACATGGCAACAAAGTTATGCAGCAGGCAAGGACAAACATTGGTGCAAACATTGCATCTGAAACTAGGCCGGGCGATTGCCATCCGGCGGTGTGCCGCCAGCGGCAGCGGCTGCGTCGTCCGCCGCGAAAGCAGTTGCCAGCGTCCTGCTTTGCTGCGGCCCTGGCGGCTGTTGAGTGGCCCAAGGCAATCCATGGCATCCAGAGTGCATTGATGGGATCTGCGGCGCTGGTCCCTCACTCGAACACGCTGCAACCAGCGGGTTGGTGCGGCGGCAGCGCAACCCACAAAGGGTCAGCACCCAGCTGCTCATACGGCCAGCAGGGGTGCTGGTTGGGTGCGCAGCAGGCAATGGCTGCCCGCACGCCTCACCGCAGGTAGTGTGTCGCCTTATGGTTGCACACCAGGCATGACGGCACATTTGCGAGCTTCTCCTCCGGGGATAGAAAGTCTGGCATGCACTCTGCAGCGCAGGGCGGGCAGAGCAGTGCGGCAGCTGCTGAGCAGGCGGGGGGACAGCAGGATGCCCGTGGTCCAGGCAAGCGCTGGCGCTGCGGCAGCACATGCTCGCAGGCCTGCGCGGCAGGAAGCCTCTGCTTAAGTAAGGGCCCCAGCCCACCTGCGCAGTGGCCGGGGTGGCCACACGGCAGCCACATGTGGGCCGCTTCACGCGTGTAGCAGGAGGGGCAGAGGCCGGTGGCACGCTGCTGCGGCTGCGCCTGCTGGGCCTGCTGGGCCTGCTGCTGGGGCTGGGCCAGCGGGTTGTAGCCGCCACCGGCGCCAGCGGCAGCCCGCCGAGGCGACTGCTCCTCCACAAACACATGAGGCAGCATGTCTTCCAGGCCGTACCGTGGCGGCGAGGCCGCGCGCTGCTGCGCCTGCTGCTGCGGTGGCGGCGCCGGCGCCGACGCGGGCGCCCTGCGCGCCGGCGCCGGCGCCTGCGCCTGCGCCTGGTGCTGCTGCCGCGGGGGCGACTGGCCATAGGCCTGCTGGCTGTAGGCCTGCTCGCGGCCCCGCCCCCTGGCGCCGGGACCCCTGCCACGCCCAGCTGCTGCTGGGGCAGGTGAGTACTCTTCTGGGAACTCGGTGGACGGCGGCCCGCCGTAGGCGCGGCCGGCCCCGCCAGGCCCCCGCCCGCCGCGCCCGCCCCTGCCGCCGGCCGCCGCGCCACGGCCGCCACGCCCGCCACGGCCCCCACGCCCGCCGGCCCCGCCGCCCGCCGCTGCCGCGCTCTGCACGGCAGCGTGACATTGGTGGTTGGTCCGGCAGCGGGCGCAACAATATGGACACCCTGCCCTCATGCAGGGGCCACGCCTCAGCTTGCTGTGCCCAGCACCTGCTTCAAGGGCGCCCACGCCCAGGCCCACTAGCCGGTCCCCATCCCCATGGCCCCCCGCCCCGCGAGACTTTCAACCCACCTGCAGGTGCTGCATGCGGGGCAGGTCGGCCAGCACCTCGTGCAGCTTGCGCTCCATCAGCGCCCACACCTGCTCGCCAGAGCGGATGACCTGCAGGGGGCAGGAGCGGCAGGGCAGGGCAGGGCAGGGCAGGGCAGGGCAGAGGTTGGGGGCAGAGCAGAAGGGTGGGCTGGGGAGGCCGGCCATGTGGCAACAACTCGCACGGGCGCGCCTGCAGCAGCCCACTGGCGCTGTCTGGCCTGGCATGGAGCACGAGCAGCAGAAGAAAAGCACCACGCGTGCACCGCCACACATGCGCCACCCATCCCGGCCTGGGCCCAGCTTGCCGCCACCTGCCTGCAGCTCCCCAGCCAGTGTGGGGTCCTGATACAGCGCCGCCACCAGCTCGGCGGCGGTGGCGGGCCCGAAGGGGCCGGTACCGTCGCTTGGAGAGTAGTACCAGTGCCTGCCCGGCTCCTCCCCGCCGCCGCCGGCCGCAGATGTGCCCGCAGACGGACCCGCGGCCGCCGCCGCCGCCTCGCTGGCGTCCTGCCTGGCACGCTGCGCCGCCGCCTGCGCGTCCTGCGCCTGTCGGCGGGCCGCGCTGGCGGCACGGTCCTCCTCGGCGCGCCGCTTGGCTGCCGTCTCTGCCGCGGCCTCCGCCGCGCGCTGCGCCTGCTTCGCCGCCGCCGCCGCCGCCTCAGCCGCCGCCGCCTGCTTCTCCAGCTCTGCTAGCCTGGCGGTGGCAGCCTTCACCCGCTCCTCTGCCTGGCCCGCCTCGGCCGCCGCCCGCGCCGCCACATCCTCCTGCGCCTGCCGCTGGCGGCTGGCCTCTGCCAGCGCGGCGGCGGCCGCCTCTGCTTTCTTCCTGGCCTCCAGCTCCTGTGCTGCCACGGCTGCCACCGCCACTTCCCACTTGTGCTCCCGCAGCAGCAGCAGGTGCTGCAGCTCGCGATGCTGGTCGGCGCTGACGTTGGGGCTGGTGCCCAGCTGGCCGGCCGCCTTCCACCACTGCCCCTTCTTGGTCTCGGTCATGGCGCCGGCGCCCCGCAGCAGCGCCACAAGGCACACCACATCGCTGGCGCTGGGCTTCATCACCTGCGGGGGGGGGGAGCGCGGCCCGCAGAGGGGTGGGAGAGGTAGCAAGGCGGCTGAAGCCCACACACAAGCTCAACTCTGGACGGGAGCAGGAAAGGGGCGAATCCAGGCAACCAGGCATCCATACATACAAAAGACAGGGGCCCTCGTCCATCACCCGTGCCACCGCCCGTGCCATGCCAGGCCCCCCCCTGCTTTCCTCCTCCCCCCCCCCGCCCACCTGGCGCGACAGCTGCTCCAGCATGGCGTGCAGCTGGTGCTCCGGCAGCGCCCCCCGCCGCGCTAGCGTCCCCGCAACCAGCATCTGCTGCCCCAGCAGGTGGCGTGCTGCCGGGCTGCGGGCCTCGGAGCGGTGCTTGACGGCGGCCACCAGGTGGGCCACCGCCGCCACTCCCGCGGCGGGCCACCGCGCCGCCAGCTCAGCAACCAGGGCCGCGCACCCATCCACCGCCGCCGACAGCTCGCCCAGTAGCTGGCTGCCCTCGGCACCGGCGCCGGCTGCCACCGCCGACGCGGCGGCGTGGTCCAGCAGAGCCGCCAGCAGCTGCTCGGCGTCCTCGGCTGCAGCCAGGTCAAGCACCCCCTGCTCGCGCACCTGCTGCACCAGAGCCGGCACATCCCAGGCAGCGGCGGCGGGCGCAGCCGCCACCAGCTGCTGCACCGCCTGCTGCTTCTGCTGCGCCACATCCGCCTGCTGCGCCTGGTCGGCGGCGCCGCCGGGGACACCACCCTCCATCTTTGCTGGCCCCTCCCTCGCAGGGCTGGCATTGGCGCTGTCCTGAACCTCGGCGCTGGCGGGCGCCTTGCTGTCCAGCACCGCCCTCCAGTCCTCCTCCTCCTCGCCCTCGCCGCCGGCCCCAGCAGCGCCCACCTGCAGCAGCACCATGCCCGCCGCCTGCTCCGGCGCCTCGGCGTCGGGCCAGCCCGCGGCTCGCTGGCGCAGCACAGAGCGCACCAGCTGCTGCTGGTCGGCGGGCAGCACCCTGGCAGCCGCCAGCTGCTGCAGGCGGTCAAACAGCTCAGCCATGAGCTCGTCAGCAGCATCTGCGGGTGGGCAGGATGGAAAGCAGGATGGAAGGCGGTGGTACGCAGGATGTGCAAGGCAGAAGCTGCGGGGTGAGGTGCTGCTCCCGCCTGTGTATGCTCAAGCCACGCACACACCACCACCACCACCACCACTGCAAACCCCGGGCTCACCCAAGCTGCTGGCATCCAGCAGGGGCCCCACACTCTGCAGGATGGTGCAGGCGCACTCAATGTCGCCTGGGTGCGGGTCCTGGATCTGCAGGGCCAGGGTGTGTGGGGTGCGGGAGCAGAGGATGTGGCAGCACAAGCGTGTGGCCAGGGAGCAGACGGGTGGGCATGCGGCGCCAGGCATGCATCGAGGTGGCAGGGCGCGCATGGCTGGCTGTGCCGCGCGTACGTTCCACAGCAGGGCGCAAAGGCAGTCGTGCACCACCGTCTCGGGGATGGCATCCGAAAGGTACAGCTCGCACAGCAGGGCGCAGATGGCGGGCCGGCTGCCCATGCCTGCAAGCGCCGGCGGCCGCCGAGGTGTTCAAAGAGGCAGGAGGGCCGCAAGGAGTTCAAGTGAGGTGCACACTGAGAGATCAGTGCAGGAGGAGGGCCGCATGCACGCTGGCCGGTCCCCAACCTGCTTCAAATTGCGAGCTGGCTGTCGTCAGCAGCTGGCGGCGCAGCACACGGCCTTGCTCGGGCGGCAGGTCTTGGAGCAGCCTGCGTGGGAAGGAGGGTTCTGCTGTGACTGCATTCTGCAACACATGGCACTTCCTGTGTAGTTCCAAGGCGATCATAGCGGCCATTTGGCCTGCTGTAATGCGACTGCTGTAAAAAAGGCAAGCAGCAGCACGCACCTCTCGAGCAGCGCCGCCGCGGCTGCCGCGTCGGCCTCGCAGCCATGCAGAAACAGCTCGGTGGCGATGGTGTGCAGCAAATCAGCAGCGCCATCGCCTCCCTGAAGCTGCTCCACCAGCTGGGACGCCTCCTCGCCCTCGGGCTCGAGCAGGGCGGGGCCGACGAGGTCCGCCATTGTGCTGTTAAGCTCCTACTCGCCCACCATGCCAGCTGCGGTCTCTCATCCCGCACGACACTGCGACAAATCATGCGACAAACATGCCATCGCCAGTGTCGTGCTGCGACGGGTGTCGTGCTGCCTCGGACAGCCCAAGTCACAGCCTCCCATGCGTCTTCTGGTCGCAATTGCACGCCATCTGCATCTTGCTGAGGCCTCTGGAACAATGGTTCATCCAGAGGGCCACTGCTAAAGGGACTCTCACACATCTTTGTGATCGCCGGGACCAGTGGGGCGATGGCGGACGTTGGAGGCATCCCGGATGGGTTGATGCAGCCTGAGAACGCCGAGGCGGCAGTCTCGGGAACCCTGCCGCATGGAGAGGATGCCGAGAGCAAAGCAGACCTAGACAGCCGCACGGAGGCGCTGCGCAATGAGTTTGTTTCATCCATGCACAGCGCAGCAGCGGCGGAGGGCGCCGAGGGAGCGGACGGCGGCGGCGACGGCGGCGAGGAGGCTCTGTTGGCTGCCGCCATCGCCAAACAGGCAGTGGCTGCTGCGCTGGAAGCCGCAGGTGTGCAGCACACGCACTCATCCAAGGCTTGCCGAACCCAAGATGTCGAGAGGATTGACCTATTCTCGCCTGCCGCCTGCCTGCCTGCTTGCAGACGGAGACCAAGGCGGCGGCGTGGTGGTGGCGCCCGGCGGCAGCGGCAGCGGCATGGAAGGACCCTCCCAGCATGCCCCCCAGCAGCTGGAGACTGTGCAGGGTGTTCAGATGGATGATGACAGCGACGACGTGTTTGAGGATGTGGGGGAGGACGAGGTGGAGGAGGATGGTGGGGAGGCGGCACAGGGCCCCAGCACCAGCCGCTCTGCAGCGGCTGGCCCGCAGCCGCACGCCATCGAAGTCCTCGACGAGCTGGAGGATGAGGAGGAAGAGGCGGCCATTGATGCTGCCGTGGCGGCGCTGGGCGTGGGCAGCGGCGCCGGCGAGTGGGAGTCGGCTGCGGTTGGCATGGAGGACGCTTCTGGCAGCGGCGAGGGCGGCGGCAGCACCGTGCTCAGCTCGCTGCTGGGCCGGCTGCAGGCTGCGGCTGCGGCGGCAGGGTCTGCAATGGCGGAAGGGACGGGGAAGATACAGGATGTTGTGGGCAAGCATGTGACGGTGGGCAAGGCGACCGGCGTGGGCGCACAGGATCGTGCAAGAAGTAGAGATGCCCGTTTTGCCGGCCTTGGCAAGAAGCAGAAGGTGCAGACCGCCAGGTGGGTGGGCTGCCTGGTGAGCGGCTGAGCGAATTGGTCAGTGTGGGTGGAAAGGCGCTTGGGGCCGAGCTTTGCTGCTGCCCGTGTCCATGGGCGTACATGCATTCAGTAGACAGCTCAGTATAGGCCAGTGCTGTCACATGTGGTCCCCCACCCGCTGGCCCGCACACCTGTGTCCCAGGGATGCGGCGCGTGCCAGCAAGAAGCAAGAGGCAAAGGCGTTGGCAAGGGAGGAGCAAGCCAAGGCGAAGAGAGAAGCGGAGCAGGAGGAAGCAGCGATCAGGCAACTGCTCCGCTTGGCCGCCTGCAATCCGCTCCTCCCACACACACGCTCCCCTCGTCTTGCCTGCAGCCAAGACAAGTTTGGTGGTGGCGGCTGCACCGTGCTGGGTGCCTCTCGCGCTGCCGGCGTGGGCGGGGCTCAAATGGCGCTGATGCTGCGCTGCACCGCACTCCATGCTGCAGGGCCATGACCAGCTCCGACAAGGTGGAGGCGTTTGCCGAGGTGCTCAACCGCTTTGCGGATGCGTGCCGCACCGGCAACCTGGGGGAGGTGCACCTGCTGCACTCCAACCTGTTCAGCAAGGCAAACCAGGTGTGAAACGCCCGCCATGCCTGGGCCAGCTGCCTGGCGCCACCCGAGCGCCCCTGCCGCCGCCCAGGAGCGCTGCGCATGCCCCGCTCGCACCCTGCCTGCTTGGTTGGGCTGCCGCGCTCGTCCACCCGTGCCTGGGCCTCCGCACCGGCCCCACCATGCGCCGCCTGCAGGTCATTGTCAGCAAGATCGGCCTGCCCCCGCCCCGTGACCTGCCCTGGAAGCCCAAGTCGCTGCCAGGTGGGCACTCTGCTGTCTAAGCAGAGGGTCTTCAAGTGGATGAAAGGTAGAGGAGGCATTCCACCGGAGCACCCTTCCTTTCACATCACCAGCAATTGGGGTGGCTGCTTGCCTGCTCCAATTTCATCCCTCCCTGCATGGCATGCTTGCCCCATGGATGCAGAGTTCTTCCAGGCCTGCTACGTGCTGGCCATCCGAGCCACCGGCGGAATAGATCTGGCCAACGAAATCGAGAGGATGAACTGGTGAGCCCACGCTGGGCGATAGCAGGACGGCTGACCGCTGCAGTGGCACTTGCCAGCGCAGCTGCCGATGCTGCTGCTGCTGCCGATGCTGCTGCTGCTGCCGATGCATTCACAGGCGCTCGAGAGCTGTGGCAAGCCATCCCTCTAACAGCACGCCGTTTGGCGCACAATTGCCACCACCCCTCTGCCGGCAGGGAGTACACGCAGGATGACAGGAGGAGGGATGCTCTGGACTTCTCGCAGCTGGTGGCGGATGCAGCCAAGGATGAGGAATCGATGCGGGTGTCGCTGGGGGCGGGCGCACGCATCGACCGTGAGATGTTCCAGGCCAAGAGGGATCTGATCCACGAATGGATTGAGAAGGGTGGGTGGGGTCGGCCTCGTTCTTTCGTGCCTCATCCTTTGCTGCGCAATAGATGCATACCTCTGCCCACACACCACCGAGGCAACCCACATCTGCAGCGCCTGGCGCTGCAGGATACCTGGATGTGCTCAGCAAGGCAATCAACCTCCTGCCCCAGTGCATCACAGCGCCGAGAGAGTGAGCCTGGGCGGGATGCCTCCATGTACCTGGGCGCCGAGGTTTACAACAGCGGGAGGCTTGAGTTTGCAGTGTGGGCAAATAGGTAGCTCAGCAAGCTACGTGCCTGCCGTGCCTGATATCTACTGTGGCTCCAATCTGCTCTTCTGCACAGGCCACCCCTGGTGACTGCGCTGCGAGCTGGGCACAACAAGAAGGTGATCACCCTGCTGCTCAAGCCCTGCGACAACCACCGCCCGCGAGGAGTGGACGAGGCATCCCCCACAGATGGCGCCACGGCGGTGGCTCTCGCCATTGAAAACAACCGCACCGACGTGTTAGGCCAGGCAAGCAGGAGGCCCCGGCTGTGACAGCCTCTCTAGGCTTTCCGCGTTGTGGCATTTGCACAGGATGTGGCATCTGGCGGCCAGCCAGCTGACCGGCCACACTGGCCCTCCCCTGCGCCTGTCCCTGCAGATCCTGAAGCTTTCTTCCCGCTGGTCCATGGCGGTGAAGGGCAAGCCCTGGACGCCGCTGTGCTATGCGCTGGCGCAGGGGCACGCCGGCATGGTGCCGCTGCTGCTGGCACATGCCAAGAAGGGCAAGCCTGAGGCAGCAGGTAGGGCGGGCTGGCGGGTTTCACGCTGCGGGATGCCCCTAGGTGGCACCGCGCTGTCGCACAGCGCTGCTCGTGCTGCCCTCACGCTGTGCTCACGCTGTGCTTGCCTCATGCTGCGCTGCGCTCTGCCCCTCCTGCTTGCCGCCAGAGCTGGCCGAGTATGTGGATGAGGTGTGCGAGGGCGCCACCGCTCTGCACAGGTGGGCACTGCCAGCCGGGAGGCCTTTTGAACAATTTGTCAGGTTGTGCATCCCCTGCAGGGAACGTGCTGATCCAGCTTCTGCTGCTGCCCCTCCCGTTCCTGCAGAGCTGTGGCGGTCGGCGCACACGACATGGCGCGCCTACTGGTGGAGGCGGGCGCCGACCCAACCATCCGCACCAGGGAGAGCGGCCGGGCCACGTCTGCGCTGCACCTGGCGGCGGCACAGGAGTGAGCTTTCTGCCTGGTTGGCCTGGGTGGGAGGGTGGGTTGGCAAGGGGTGATCAGACGGAGCAAGCAGCTGCACTGGTTCATTCACGCTCGCTCGGTGTGTCCCTGCCCTGGTGCGGCTGCTGCAGTCAGCTGCAGCCGCTTCTGGAGCAGATGCTGGCAGCCATCCTTGAGGAGCGGCGCCCCGCGGTTCTGAACACCCTGGTAGACCAGGCAGACAACACGTTGCTGCACTGGGCGGTGGCGCGGGGCGCGGTGCCGCTGGCGGAGCTACTGCTTGGCATGGTGAGCGAGCCGCGGGCAGCGCCGCCTGCGTCACGAGCGCCTCCTGTTCCGACATTGTGATAGGGACAGATACACCTCTTATCTGCCAACACTGCCACAACTTCATCCTCTGCCGCAGGGCGCACGTCCCACCTCTCGCAGCGAGAGCCGCTCGCCGCTGCTGCGCCTGCTGCTCAAGCTGCAACAAGTGGGCATCGGGGATGGGGCAGGCGGCGACGCGCCGAGGGAGGAGGAGGCCGCGGCAGCTGCCGAGCAGGAGGACCAGGAGCAGGATGCGCTTCGGCAGATGGAGGGCGCCTTTCTGGCGCACTGGCGGGCCGAGGATACGACCAAGGCGCTGCATCCCAGCCAGCGCCCGGCCGACTCTGCGCTGCTCCACGACTGGCTGCTGCAACGGCGTGGCGTCACCCTGGACCCGATCCTGTCGGATGCCAAGCAGCGCCAGGCGGTGGGCCAGGCGGCGGTCGACGACCGCAACCGGCTGCTGCTGGAGCTGCTGCTGGATGAGCCTGGCTTCTCGGCGCAGGGTAGGCTGATAGCTGCCCCATTGCCGATGTGCCATGTTCTGTCGATGCGCTCGCGCTTATCGCCAAAGCCGGCACGGCAGATGACGTTTCCCCCAGCGCTATGTTGCTTGCACGCCTTGCCTCATGCTCCGTATGGTGCCGCTGTGTAATACTGTACCGCAGGGCTGTACCTGCACCGCCTTGTGGACCGGCTGAAGGGCACCCAGCTGGACCTCATGCAGCGCTTGCTGGATGCCGGCGCCAGCATGCACGAGCGGCAGCCGCCGCAGGGCACTCCTTTTCTGCACAAGGCGAGCCGCCGCCGCTGCGCCGCCTCACACTCACTCGGCACCCGCTGGCGTACGTCCCTTCACCCTGAACACTTCAGCAGCCCTTGCGAAACATTTAATTGCCCGTTTCACTGCGCCTGTGCTCCGAAGATGCTCCCCCCCCTTCTTCAACGCCCCCCCCACCCGCAACCACCATCCCAACCCACCCCCACCCCCCCTGCAGGCCGCCGAAGAAAAACAACTTGGTTGCCCTGGAGGGCTTCTGGCTTGGGGGCGCAAACGTGGCACCGTTGGATGACCAGGGCAACAACTGCTTGCATGCTGTGGCCCGACAGAAGGCAAAGGCGGGAGTGGTGTATGCTGGAGTGGTGGCCAGGCTGGTGGATCTCGCCCCCCAGGTGCGCTCCTGGAGTGAAGTGATGAGGGGAGCAGATGTTGGCCACATGGCTGCATGTTTCGAGTCGAGTATGCTCCAAGCTCTCCTGCACGCCTGTGCTCATGCACCTTCAACCCAGCGCATCCTCCTGCCCGCTGGTCCCATGTCGCCCTGCAGCTGCTGACGCAGCGCAACGAAGCCTTCTTCCTACCCAGCGACTCGGCGCCGGCGGACAGCGCTGTGGAGGCCCAGCTGGAGGCGCTGACCAAGCGCCAGCTGGATGCGGGCAAGGTGGCAGAGGAGGCTGAGCGCTGGGCGCGGGTGAGCCTGGGAGGCAGGCAGTCGCCATGGGATGGCATGTGCTGGCAGTTGCGTGGACTCCTGCTGATCCAGTGTATTGCTGAGTGCTGCTGGTGGTGCCTCGTGCCTCCCACCTGCCTGCGGTTGCTTTCTTGCAGGCAGCCAAGGACTGGACACAGCTGGGCCCCCCCACCGAGGATGCGGAGCTCAAGCGGCAGAGGATTGATGCCATGCTGTCGTCCAAGCTAGCGCCCACGGTGCAGGTGGGAACGTGCAGACACAGGGCAGGGTGGCTGGGACGGCTCCATTGCACATGCAGGCTTGCGTGCGGGACGAGCTGCGGCGTTGTTCATCGGCCCTGCGTCTGGCCCCTGCCTGCAGAACATCCAGCGGCAGGAGAAGCTGGGCGCTGCGGCCGGGCTGCAGCGTCCCGACTCGGCTGGCGCCACCACCATCCCGCCTGAGCGCCGTGCCATAGCAGCCAGCGCCGAGCCCACCCCACCCACCACCCCGACATCCATCTACCGCCAGCGGCCCCACAAGCGCAGCTGGGCTGACCTGGCTGACGAGATGCCTGCTGTGGTGCGCCTGCCGGTGTGGCCGGAGAGCTTGGAGGCGGCCGCCGCGGCAGCGCGGGCCGACCCCGCGGCGGCAGTGGCGCAGATCCTGAGGCGGGCCACACCCGAGGGCGCCGCCCCCATCAGCTCCCTCAGGCAAGCAGGCCGCCTCGTTCATCGATGAGGCCGTAGCGTTTGGCTGCTTCTGTCGTGCCACACGCACGCCGTGATCCTGATGTTGCTCCTGCCTGCGTTTCGTGCCCGTTTCCCCTGCCTCGTCCCACCCCACGCTATGGCCCCCCCCCACACACACCGCAGTGAGCTGCCCTGGGAGATGGACATCCACCGCGACGCCTGGGCAGAGTGGATGGGTATGGAGGCACGGCACAGGTGAGTGCCTTGCGTGTGGGTATGGTTGTTTGGTTCGAGAGGCAGCCGGGCTGGTGTGTTGGGTTGGCTGCATTGGTTGGTCTCGGGACCTCCCATCCGCTTCTTTGCTTCTCCCCTTTTGCTTGGCCCACAGGCGGCTCGTGCTTCAGCTGCTGCTGCGCATAGGAGAGGGGCGCTTCGACCCAGACCCTTCCAAGACCATCCGCAAGATGAGCGGCAGCGCCGCGGGCGACTTTGGCAACATAGAGGCAGGGGCTGCCGCCTGCCACCCGCCGCTGCTGCCCTGCAGGCGGGGCGTGCACTCGCCGTGCCTTGCTCCTCCTGCCACAGATGGTTCCTGGGGCGTGCTTGCCCCACCCCCACATGCCCGCTCCCCTTCCCCTACACACACACACGGCCAGTACTCCTCGCCAACACACCACCTGCCTGTACTCACACACCAACACACCACCTGCCAATCTCCCCTGCCGCAGGTCTACCTGGCGCAGCTGCCCCGCTCCGCCAGCCTCATCTTTGAGGTGGCTCCCGAGGTGGATGTGCGGCGCAGCATGGTGGACGCCCACGGCCAGCGGCACATGCAGTACCACGATGTCATCCGCATCTGGGTGGGTGCCTGGGGTGGGTGCCTGGTGCCGGGAAGGATGGGGAGTGCGCTTGGGACTCGGCCAGCTTCAGCCAGGTTGAGGTGACCCGCACACCCATGTGCGCGCGCGCGCGCACACACACAGCTAACTACCTCGCCCCCATCCCACCACCGCCACCACACACAACCGGCGCGTGCAGTTTGTGTCTCTGGATGAGGGGCGGGCAAGCGAGGCGCTGGACCTCATCGCCGCCTCCTACCGCAAGGGCCAGTCGGCGCGGCGGCAGCTGCTGCTGGAGGCGCACCGAGGCGGCGGCGGCAGCGGCAACGGCGGCGGCAACGGGGTGCAGGTGCCTGGCTGGCATTGGGAAAAAGGCCAGCAGAGTTCCCTCGTGCACCCCTGTACTGTTAGCTGCCATGTACTGATGGACTTGCTATCAAGCCTTCTTTCGTTGCCGTTGCAGGAGGTTCGGCTACCGGCCGACTACCGCAGCCGGGAGGTGGATCGAGCCGCGGCGGCCACGGCGGCAGCCGCCATTGCTGCCGAGGCAGCGGCGGGGGGCGGCAAGGGGGTGCTGCGCCGCCGCTACTTCCCTCCCGCCTCCACAGAAGCCGACAGCTACACCGTGCTGAAGTTCCACCCGCTGGAGGATGCCATGCTTCACTCTGGTGAGCAGGCTAGCTGGGGGCCGAGGAAGGACGGGTGCTAGGGCACGGAGCCAGCAAGCTTCCACCGCACCCGGCTCGGGTGGCCCAGGACAGGCAGGAGCAGCCTCAACCGCTGGGCCCACCTGCCTGGCCCTGCCTGCGTGCCTTCTTTGCTTCCTTCCCACACGCCCCACCTGCCTCTGCCCCTGCCCCTGGCCCCCCCTGCAGTAATGACAAATGAGGGCCAGACAGATGTGGACTTTCGCTTCCGGCTGTCCCCCGCAGAGGCGGTGAGGGGCGGTGGCAGCAGCGCTACGTGCATGCACCCTGCGCGGCCGCCGCATTGCAATCTGCCGCCCGCGTGTCGCAGCACCATAGCTGCCGCACAATTAGGCGCCCCTGTCCCAGCTGCTTGGCACCGGCGTGCCCCCTGCGCTGCGCAGGACGTGGTGGAGCGCATGCCGTACCCGCCTCAGTCGCTGATCCTGCTGGGCCGCAGCGGCACGGGTGGGTGGTGTGGCAGGGGCAGTTGCTTTCGATTGCTTTTGTTTGCATGCCCTGCTGCGCGCTCTGCACCGGCCTGTCAACAGCCAGTGCGTGCATGCCGAGTGTTGTGACACAATCGTGCAGGCAAGACCACGGTGGCGCTGTTCCGCATGTTTGACCGCTGGCGGCGCAGCTTTGAGGACGGCCAGCCGCTGCACCAGGTCTTTGTCACAGTGTCGGCCACGCTCAAGGAGCAGGTGTGCGGCTGTGGGGGAGCAGTGGGAAGCCAGGATGGGGTTGCTGTGCGACCCTTGAGCAGGCCCTGCTTTTTCTCAGGGGCCCTGCTGTTTCTCTGGCATAGCTGCAGGACTGCCAGGCACAGCTTGCTCCCCTCACCTTCTTCCCCTCCTGAGGTGCCGCCGTACAGGTGGCCAAGGCGTTTGTGCGGCTGAGGAGCGGGCTGCCGGCGGTGACTCCAGACCGCGCCGCCGCATACGCCGCAGCCGCAGCACGCCCCTACCACTCTTTCAAGGGGCTGCCCGAGGAGGCCTGGCCGCTGTTCCTCTCCGCCAAGCAGTACCTGCACATGCTGGACGGTAGGGCGGCTGCCGTGTGGCTGCCTCACAGCCTGTTGATGGCGCGCACTGAAGTGCCCGCACCGCTGCTGCCACTGCAGGCACACTGCGCCAGCCCTTCTTCAAGCGCCGTGCCGACGGCAGCTTCTTCTACGCATCTGGTGCGGCTGTGGTGTGGTGTGGTGTGGTTCTAGGCACCCTGCTGCCTACCCGTCCCACTTCACACTGCTGCAACGGGTTGCCCTACCGATAGCCATCCGGCCCGCCTGCTGTCCCTTTGACAATCATGCCCTCGTGCCCTCTCTCCGATGCCCTCTTCGCAACGCCCTGCAGAGGCTCAGGATGACGACGACGGCATGTCAGTGCTTGTGGACCTGGCGCATGCTGGGGCGGCGGCTGGCGAGGGGGGGAGCGGGGCTGAGCCAGCCGGCGGCGTGGAGGAGGGCGCCCGCATCAGGGTCACATTCTCCTTGTTCCAGGTGGGGCGGGGTGGGCAGCAGATGTTGCCTGTTGTGCTGCGATGGCCAATGGCGGTCCCAGCAAACACTCCAGCAGCGGCCCGGCCTTTTCACGGACACGGTTGTGTTGTGGTTGCTGGATCGTCTGTGGATGGCCATTGCCAGCACAGCTGGCCCCACGCCCAGGAGATGGTGTGGCTTGCTGTGCTGCGATGGCCAACCACAGACGGTGCAGCAACCAACAACAACCCTGACTCCTCACCCGGCTTTGCTCCCCAGCCGCACGCCCACGACCCATCGCCCAGCCGCACCCCTCTCCCGGCCCGCCCGCCTGCGCAGAGCTCCATGTTCCGCCGCCTGCGCCCCGGGCAGAAGGTGGACTTCGACGCCAGCCTGGCCTGGCAGGAGATTGTGAGTGCTGGGTGGGACGGTGGCGTGTGTGTGTGTGTGTGCACTGGATGTGGTGGCATGAGCGAATGCGTATGTGTGGTGGGGCTGCCAATTTGTTTTATGGCTGGAAGCAAACCAAGTTGACGAGCTGTGTTCCTACACTTGCTTCCTTCACCCAGCCGCTCCACATCCTCACGCCCTGCAGGTCTCTTACATCAAGGGCACCAAACAGGCGGTGGAGGGCAGCGGCAGGTGGGTGGGTGGGCAGGGCAGGTGGGGACCTCCAGCCAGCAACGCGTGCATTAGACATGTGTTGGGTACATGCTTAAACCCACACCACACCAAAACACACCACAGTAGCCCATAACCCCCTCCACACCCCACCCCACCTACACACACACACACACACACCGCCTCCCTCCCTCCCCCCCAGGCTGACCGAGGACGAGTACCTCAGCGACATTGGGCGCAAGCAGGCGCCCAACTTTGGCCCGGAGAGCCGCCGCCTCATCTACCAGCTGTCCACCGCCTACGAGCAGGTGGTTACGGGGGGCGCAGGCGGGGCAGCCGCGGCACAGCTTGGTTGCAAGCAACACAGGTTGTCTTTTCGGGGGCAGCATGCCGACCTCCGTGCAGTCTGCGGCCTCCTTGCCTTATCTCAGCCCCCTCCCTCCTTGCCTCCGCTCCCACTCTGCGTGTCCACAGGAGAAGAAGCGTGGGCTGACAGAGGGCCACGTCACACACTTTCTGTACGATGCCGCGGATGTGGTGGCCTGGATCCACCGCAGGCTGAGGGAGGAGGGGTATCGCGGGGAGCCCATCCACGAGCTGTACTGCGATGAGGTGCAGGTACGTTGACCCGCCTGCCCATATGTGCCACCTGGCAGCGGTAACATGCGGCTGTCTGGCAGCTAAAGGCTGACACAACTCCAGGCCCCTTGCGCACCTCGCACTATCCCATCCAGTCGTTTTTCTTGTGTAACCAAACCACCCGCAACCCGCCATCCGTCGCGCTGCCGCGCCTCTCTCCCCGCCCGCAGGACTTCACCCAAGCCGAGCTGTTGCTGAGCCTGCGCGTGGTGTCAGATCCAAACGGGATCGCCCTGTTCGGGGACACGTGCCAGACCATCGCCCGCGGCATCGGCTTCAGGTTCGGCACGCCGCCACGTGGGGCTCGGCCCTGGGCGGCAACGCCGATGCTCCCTCCTCACGCCTACAATTCCCTGCCGCCCCCTGGCCTTTAAAACTGCAATCAATCAACGGTGTCCCTCCCTGTTGGGTATCGTACACACACATGGCTGCAGGTTCACCGACGTCAAGCAGCTATTTTACCAGGCGCAGCGCGAGGCGCAGCTGGCGGCGTCGGCGGGCAAGGGGTGGGACGAGGCGGCGGTGCAGATGCCGGACATAGTGCCGCTGGAAGTCAACTACCGCACACACAGGTGGGGCCGCTGGCTGGAGGGGTACAGCAGGGATTTGCGGGTCGGGTGTGGGTGTGCTGTTGAATGAGGGAGGGGACCTGGGGCTGTAATGAGGAGGCGGGAATTGGAATTGCGATGTTCGTCTGGTGATATGACACCAACCCCTGTCCAGCATCCCAAGCTCACCAACACCACACCGCGTGCATTGCCCACCCACGCGGGCACCCTTGCTGCAGCGGCGTGCTGGATGTGGCGGCCTCGGTGGTGCAGCTGCTGCGCCGCTTCTTCTCAGAGCAGATTGACGACCTCAAGCCGGAGCAGGCCTTCCTCGAGGCGAGGAGCTGGGATTGTTGGGGCTTGGGGTAGAGCACGGGTCAGATCTTTGGGCTGTTTTCAGTAGGGCATGTAAGCGGTTGCTGGTGGCCTCACACCCCCAACTAGGCATTCATGCCCAAACTCCGTCCTGCCCTGGTGTGCAGGCTCCCCACCTGCCGCTGCTGCTGCCCGCAGCCACGCCTGGCAACGTGGCCATGCTGCTGTCGGGCGGCGACGCAAACGAGGCCTGGAAGGTGGGGAGGCGGTGCCAGCGTCGGCCTTGGCTTCAGGCAGCATGCAGGCTGCTCTGGTGGGCCGCGGCCCGCGCCCCTCTCGCCTCCCAACCTCTCCCTGTCCCGCCCTCACCCGCCTCACTCTCCCTTCACCTCACCTGTGCTGCCTGTTGTGTGTGCCCCCTCCCTGCCCCTCCCTGGAACCGAGCAGACCGAGTTTGGGGCCAACCAGGTGGTGCTGCGCCGCACGCTGGCCTCCCCCGTGCCCCACTTCCTGGCCAAGATCGACGCCGTTGTGATGACCATCCCACAGGCCAAGGGGCTGGAGTTCAACGGTGCGGGCCAGGGCCCTGGGGAGGGGCCGGCGGCTCAGGCGGCCCTGACGTTTGCCCTGCCTCGTGGTCAGCATAGATAGTAGGCTACCATCTGCCTTGAGGATCTCATCTCCTCATTCCACCCTGCCCCCTCGGCTTCCGGCCGCCTGCCTCTGCAGACGTCTTCATCCTCAACTTCTTCGCCGACAGCCCCTGCAAGGAGGAGTGGCGCATCCTGCTGCAGGCGCGTGCAGCAGCCGGGCGCCCACAGCCTGCCCACTCAACCTGTGCAGCTGCCTCGGCGTGCACCACTTCACGCCTGCTGCCCTTCCTTTGCTCTGCACTTTCCTGCCTTGCAGTACCTTGCTGAACTCGAGGAGAAGGAGAAGAAAGGGGGCCCCGAGGCGATGCCCTTTGGCAAGCCTCTGGCGCCTGTGTCGGCCTCGGAGCTGGGGTTCTCGGGCGCGCGCCTGGATGTGCTGGTGAGGCCCCACTCCCAGCCCGCAAAATGGCAGGCGTGGGTGCGCATGATAGAAGCTCATGTGCGCTTGGCGGGTGGGTGGCCAGACCACAGCCTGGCTGGTACGTGCCGGTTTCTGGTGGTGTCGCTGCACTGCGCCCCATGGCAGCTTTGTGCCCCCCTGGTGCAGAACTTTGATGAGACCCAGCACAAGCTGCTGTGCGAGGAGCTGAAGCACCTGTACACAGGTGGGCGATGGGGCAAGCAGGAGCGTGATGGCAGGGGGGTGGGTCTTGAGTGCTGGCACCAAGCTGTCAATGCCCTGGCCTCACACCCCGTCTCCCTCCTCCTATCGGTGATGCAGCGGTGACGCGCGCCAAGAACGCTGTGGTGAGTTTTTCGGTGACTGCTGTGCTCTTGTTGGATGCCGCCTCACCCACACACTCACCGGCACACCGGCCTCCCCTCGTCTAACTCGTTCTTCTTTCCTCCCTGCCAGGTGTTCTTCGACTCAAGCCCCCAGGCCCATGCCCCATTCTATTACTACCTGGCCCGACTGGGTCTGGCCCGAGTGGTCACCGGGCAGCTGAAGCTGGAGGTGAGGGGGCAGAGGGCAGCGTGGGAAGGCGTTGGCAGGAGAGGTTGTTGGTGTTGTCGTTGGCAGCGATGGTGGTTTTGGTCTGTGTGTGTGTGTGCCTGCCAGTGCATTTGTTGGCCTTCCCCCTGGCAATAGCAATCAACTCCTCCCGCTGGCCTGCCCCTGCCCCTTTCCTGCCTGCCCACAGGAGGGCAAGGACCTGCACCAGCTGGGGCTGTCCAAGAGCAAGAGCACGCCCGCAGACTGGATCAGGTGAAGAACCTGGAAGGGCCCCGCCAGCCCAGCCAGATACCATGGGTGCTGCCCAGCTGGATACCGTGGGCGCCCTCTAACTGTGCTGCTGACGCGGTTGCTGACACCTGCCACACGCATGCCACACTGTTGTGCCCCAGGCGTGCCCAGACCATGGTGCGTACGGCAAACTTTGATGCCGCGGCCACCTGCTTCCGCAAGGCGGGCAACAGCAGCCGCGCGCAGGCGTGCCAGGCGCAGGCCAAGCTGCAGGCGGCGGCCGAGGTGCGGCGGCGCCTGGTGGAGCCGCACGAGCGGCGGCTATGGCTCGCTCTGGTGCTGCTGCTCGGTGCTTACAGTCTGTAGGCAAGGTGTGGCTTCCCCCTACCTTTTCAATCCCCTCCCGCTTGCCTGCGGCTGCCTGCAGCTGGACGAGGACCAGGAGGAGGCAAAGGCGCAGGCGCTGCGCTTCGAGGCCGGCTACACTCTGCTGGGCACTGCCGTGAATGCGCCGCCGCACGAGGCAGACGCCGCCGAGCGGCGCGACTGGCTGCTGCTGGCGGCGGCGGCGCTCAAGGCGGCGGGGCAGGAGGCGGCGGCGCAGCAGATCAGCGCGGCGCTGGGCAATGTGGCGGGGCGGGCTGCCCAGGCGGCGGTGGCAGGACCTGGTGGCTTGCGTGGCGGCCCCGTCCGCAGCATGACCTGAGCATGCTGCGGCGCCTGGGCCAGCCTGCAGCTGTATCACCAGGACGCAGCATCACGGAACACAAGAAAAACACAGTGTTTGAGCGGCAGCTAGATCCATGAATTTGCATCTATAGTACCCCTGTTTCGATTGCTTATCATACATCTGATTCCGTTGCTTTGCAATGTGTCGCAACAACAAAGCAGCTCGCTTGTTAGAGCTTCTAATGTAAGTCTGGCACCGTCGGCCGCGGTCAACGCTGGCCGGAAGAATGATTGACGAATCATATTGTGCTGGCGAATCTGAAAGTACCAGTAACGGCGCAGAAAGTACTCAAACTGAATGCCGCAAGTCAGCTGTCTCGCAATGCCCTGCTCACTTCTGCTTGTGCTTGGCGCAGAAGTCGGCGGCCTCGGCATAGCTGTCCCCTGGGCTGATGCCGTTCTTGATGTCCAGCAGCTTGCCACCCTTGGCGATGACCACATGGCTGAGGGAGGGAGGGAATCCATGCAATCAGCACAAACCGCGCCTGGTTGTCCCACAAGGCAACTGCACCAATACTGCAAAAAAGCCAAATCTCTACCCCCCTGTCACCTGCGCAGAATGGACTTGGCGGCCTTGAGAGCTCCAAACGCCTTGAGCAGCTGCACCAGTGATGAGCATGTTGGTCAGAAGTCCGTTCAACCTTTCAAAGCTATCGGTCTGTGAAGCCAGGCACAACATCTCATGCAAACAACATGCCTCGCCCTCCGCATCCGTCAGCAGGTGGTATGGCAGCTCGTACTTAGTCTTCCAGTTGCTCTGCATGCAGACATGCAACAAAAAGGATCTACAGACTGCTTGGCTGGGAGCTGCGCATCGCACTGGAGTCGAGGAGGCACCTGCGACTTTGGTTTATCGAAACTCATGCCGTAGACATCAAATCCCGCAGCAGTGAACTCTTCAACCCTGTCCCGGAACCCGCATGCCTGCTTGGTGCACCCGCCTGCACGTACATGGGCCGTTGAGGGCAGGGCCAAGCAGACGGTTGCCAGCTAGCATCTACAGATTGGCATGCGTGCAGTTCAGACAACAAACCTACCCGTGTTGGCACGCGGGTACATAAAGACGACGATGCCTTTGTCCTTCACCAGATCCTGCAAGCCATGAAATGCACGGTGGGTCACACAGCGGCTGCATTGCGGGCGGTCAGGCGTGTCGGCGCGGTGGCGGTGGCGACGGTCTCACCAGCAGCTGAACCTCTGTGTCGTCTTCGCGCAGCAACAGGGATGATGGCACAGTATCGCCAACCGCCAGCGTCCCTGACTTCGCTTTGCCCTTCTTTGCAGCCGGTTCAGGTGCTGCAGTTTTGTCGGTGCTCTTGCGCTTGGGCGCCATGACTGTCAGACCCACAATTTCAGTGCCAGAAGAAGCTCTCTTGATTGGCGGGATAAGCGAGCTGTGTGGTGGGCCAGTGTGCTGTCTCCAGCCACGTCGGCGTGGCCAAGCTTGGCCAAGCCGAAGGCGGACCTGGGGCTCGATCGCATATTGATTGCGGCCTACACAGCGGGATCAGCAAATTACACCAGGCCCGCTGCCAGATGAGGGCCATGCACTGCGGGAGTGTGGCAGCAAGGGGAACTGGTAGCGGCGGCGCCTGCACGCAAAGCAGACGAGAAGCCGGAACACACTGCAGGCTGCGGAATGCCCAGCAGAGGCCCCGACATACGCGCCGGACAGCGGCAGCGGCAGCGGCGGCGGCGGCAGGCGCCGGCACGGCAGAGGACGCTCCCGGCTGCGTGCTGGGCATCGACTTGGGCACCACCAACTCAGCAGCAGCGGTACGGGTCGCCATGTACTCTACGCCGGTGCAGGGTACATGGCACAGCACATTCGCTAATGCTGGCATGCTCCTCCCTTGCAGCTGTTGGAAGGTGGCGAGCCGGTGCCCATCCCAAACCAGGAGGGCGCCCTGACGACGCCATCTGTGGTGGCCTTTGGCGCCGACGGCAGCGTGCTGGTGGGCGCTGCAGCCAAGCGGCAGGCGGCCCTCAACCCCAAGAACACATTCCACTCAGGTGGGGTGGCCTTGTGAGCGGCCGTGGGCCTGCCTGCTCCCATGTATGTGCACCAACCACACCATGCCTCAGGCAGCAGGGAAGCCCTGCGCTGCCTTGCCTCACTTGGCTGCGTGCATGCGTGCTGCCGCCGCTGCAGTGAAGCGGCTGATTGGCAAGGAGTACGAGGATGTGGAGCAGGATGTGCGGCAGCTGGCATATGGCGTCGGCGCAGACGAGGATGGCTTTGTGGTGCTGGAGTGCCCTAACCTGGCGGATAGCAGCAGCACGGCGGCAGCAGCGAGCGATGACGGCGGCGGTGCAGGTGTGCGCCGGGGAGGACCGCATGCTCAGGAGCAGTCAGCATGTAATCTCCATTCGGTAGCTGCCCTCCATGCCTCCCATCCCTGGCGTGGCTCCCGCAGGCGGGCGGCTGTATCCTGAGGAGGTGTCTGGCTACGTCTTGGCCAAGCTCGTGGCTGCGGCGGAAGAGTTCAGCGGGCGGCCCGTCAGCAAAGCCGTCATATCTGTGCCAGCATACTTCACGGATGCACAGGTGTGCTGGGGAGGCCCCTGGCTTGGTGGGCTGGCAAGGCGCCCTGGCTTCCTGCTGGGTCTTGTGGCTCGCCCAGGGCCAGCAAGCTGATCGAGTGCCCCTGCCCCTTCCTGTTGCCTGCCTGCAGCGGGAGGCCACCGTCACCGCTGGCAGAATAGCGGGGCTGGACACCGTGCGCATCATCAGGTGATTGCCCTGGCCTCATGGTGCTGGCCAGGCTGGTGTGGCGCCTCGAACAGCTCAAGAAGCACTGATCACACGGCTCTATTACCTGGCTGCTGCAGGGAGCCGGTGGCGGCGGCGCTGGCGTACGGCCTGGATGCTCAGGAGGACCAGACTGTGCTGGTGTTTGACCTGGGGGGAGGCACATTTGACGTCAGCCTGCTGGAGGTGAGCCAAGGCCTTGTGCTGCTGCAGGATGCCTCGCTGCGCTTGGTGGTGGTGGTGGTGGGGAGGCAGCACGGAGGTGACACTTCCGCTGCTTTGGCCTGCACCAGCACACGGCCCACTGACATTGCGCCGGTGCAGGTGGGCGGCGGCGTGATTGAGGTGCTGTCCACTGGCGGCGATGCCAGCCTGGGGGGCGACGACTGGGATGCTGCCATCATGCAGTGGCTGGTGGACTCCCACCTCAAGCCCGCACGGGTGGACGTGAGGGTGAGGGCCAGGCCGGCTGGCTGGGCTGTGTGCTGGAGGCTGGGCACATGCATGCCGTCTGGCAGGGGCGCCTGTCCAGGGCAGGCCTGCTCTGCTATACACTTATCCACAGCCGCGGTCGTTCTGCCTGCCGCCGGTGCAGGACCCTCGCCTGGTGGCCAACCTGCGTGCAGTTGCTGAGGCAGCCAAGATCAAGCTGAGCAGCGAGGAGCGGGTGGTGGTGCGCATGCCGGTGGGCGGCGGCATCGAGGCCGTCCTGACGCGGCAGGTGCGGTGCACGGCCGGCAGCTGGCAGCTCCCAGTCTACCTGCGGCAGGGAAAACCCACTGCGTCATTGGATTGCCCCGCCGGGGTTGCAGCGAGCTGTCCTGGGTGAGGATAGTCGTGACACCTGGCCCGCCTGCCTGCCCGCCTGCCCGCAGATGTTTGAGAGCCTCACCATTGACCTGTTCCGGCGGGCGCGGCTGCCGCTGGACCAGGCCTGCTGGCAGGTGGGTGTGCTGACAGTGCCTGCTACCGTTGCTGCAGCAGCTGCAGCGTCCTTCCCTGGGCTCCCTGCCACATTCTCAGGGCGGCTTCCCCTGCACCCACCCTGAGCTTAGTTTCCCCCCTCCCCTTTTGCACCCTCTCAACAGGCTGGGGTGGACCTGGGCACTGTGGTGAAGGAGTATGAGGATGCGGTGAAGTCTGTCAAGAAGGGAGGCACCAAGGGCGGCGCCGGGCGGCGGCAGAGCAAGCGCGGCGAGGCGGCGGTGGAGCTGGCAGCCAGCGGCGTGCAGATCCGGCCCAAGCGCCGCATGCCGGTTGGCAAGGTCAGTGGGGTGGCAGCTAGGCACGCTAACATCTTCGGCAATGGTTGTGACTGGAGCAGCTGATCGCAGCCCATTGCCACCTTCAGTCCCCACCTGTGTTCCCACCTGCCTGCCCCTGGTCCCCCCCTGCCTCCCCGCAGGTGCTGCTGGTGGGCGGCGCCACGCGCATGCCCGCCATCCGCCGCTTTGTGCGCAACATGACGGGGCTGGACCCTGCCGAGTTTGTGGTCGATCCAGACCTGGCGGTGGCGGCGGGCGCGGCGGTGCAGGCTGGCATCTACGACGGCCAGGTGTGTGGGGGCGGGGTGGGGGCCTGCTGTCCGGCTTGCCTTGTTTGCTGTTGTTCGCTTCCGGTTCTCGGTCAAGCCGCCCTGATTCTTCTCTGGGCGGCAAACCGACTACTCTGGCGTGTGTTGGGACGTGGCTCCGCCCGCCTCGCAGGTGTCTGAGCTGATGGTGATGGATGTGTGGCAGGCCTCGCTGATGCGGGCCTTTGCGGCACAGCTGCAGCGGGAGCAGGAGGGGGAGGCGCCTAATGAAGGGGGCGACGAGTGGCGCGGCGACGGCGGCGGCAGCGACGAGGAGGAGGGCTGGGAGGACGAAGAGCCAGCAGCGGATGAAGAGCAGGAATAGGTTTTGTGACAGGCACCGCAATCTCTTTTAAGGCCACGTCCTTATTGCTGCTAAAAGCACGGAGAAGCACACAGGCCAAGTCGGCGCCCTGGCGGGCGGGACAGCACAGCACTCAGCTCTGTCAAAGGGAGCCGCGGCGTGCTGCAGCCAGTTTCCACAGCTTGCTAGCGGGTCATTCTTGCAGGGGAGAGGCGGCACCAACCTGCCTGGGCGATCGGGCCGCCTCTATCGCCTCGCTTGCCCGCACCTCCCTCGTACCCAGCCTGTGTACAAGCGGGAAAAAGAAAACCGTCTTCCTAGGGCCGGCGCCACCGCCGCGTTGCCAGCCGGCGCCACCACCACCGCTGCCCGCCCATTTGCTTTAGCGCTCGTCGCCCACCTGTTGTCAACAAGCCTAAGCACCTCGTCCCTGGGGTGCGGCGGCTGGCGCCATGGACGGGGCGTGCCCCAAGTGTGGGGAGGGTGCTGTGGAGTTTGAGGAGGTGGAAGGCGTGTCTGCCTGCGCGGCGTGCGGCTGGGTGGTGGCAGACGAGCAGCTGGTGCATGCCACCGCCTGGGACAACCGAGGCGCGCCCCAGGGCGTGTTTGTGGGAGCAGAGGACACGGGTGAGGCTCTCAGGCGCTCTTGGGGCCTTTGCATGCTCATGGCAAGCTCGGGCAGATTGCGGCAGGGGGTGCTGCACTCGGTGCCGGCACGCTTGCGGGGGTCCCCACTCAGGCGCTTCCAATCTTTCCTGCTGGTTGCCTGCAGGCGAGCGAGCCGCAGCGCATGCGCTGCAGGCCAGCGGCCCGGGGCTGTCCATCCAGCGCAGCAAGCGCGGCGTCGGGGAGGTGAGCGGCCCACTCCTCTGCTGCTTTCAGGGAGGTTTCATCCGGACGATGCCCAAATGCTGCACCCGCTCTCCGTCATGTGCCCACTACTCTGCCCTCCCTTGACCTGCTCTGCCCCGTACCTCCACACCCGCAGGCCAGGCTCAAGGCTCGGGTGCGGGAGTTTGCGGCACTCCTGCGCCTGCAGCCGCCGGTGGTGGACCAAGCGCTGCACGTGGCGGGGCGGGCTGTGCCGCACTGCCTGGGCAACTGGCGGCGGGATCACTTGGCAGCGGCAGCCACCTACGCGGCCTGCAGGTGTGCTTTGTGTTGGCTGGAGGATGCCTGCGGGTGGCGTGGCGTTGTTTTGCAGGCTGCATTCACCTCACTCTGCCGCATCCGTGCAGGCTCAACAAGCTGCCGCTGACGCTGGCCGACCTGTCAGGGTCCGTCCAGATCGATGTGCACACCCTGGGCCACTACTACTGCGCCCTGTGCCGCCTGCTGGACCTCCAGCCGCCGCTGCTGCTGCCAGCCGACCTGCTGCCGCGCTCGGTGGACCGCGTGACGGCAGAGGCGGTGGCTCGGGGCGCGCTGGCTGCGGGCACGGTGGCAGCGGTGCAGCGGGATGCGGGCATGCTGCTGGACTGGATGCACCGCCAGCTCAACCAGCGCCAGTTCCCGCTGGGATGCGTTGGCGCCGCACTGGTGCTGGCGGCAGAGATGAACACGGTGCGTGTGGCCGAGTGTGTTTGGGCACGTGTTTTGTGTGCTTTGGTGTGCAGGGCGTCGTGATGGAGGTGGTGGAGGGGCCGCGCACTGGACTGGGCGGCGAGAGTGGGGCCCATGCAAGCAGCAGGTTGCAAGTTGAAGGCCTCACCTCGCATCTCACCCAACCCACCTCTCCCAACCCACCCCAACCCACCAATACCCCCCGCAGGTCTCGCTGAGCCTGGACCACGTCAGCGCCAGCCTGCCGCTGTGCCGCAGCACGCTGGAGCGCAAGCTGGCCCAGACGCGGCAGCGCCTGGTGCAGCTGTCTGCCTTCCTGCCCTACAGCAGCACCATCAACGTCCGCAATGTGGGCAGCCACGCCCGTACCATCATCAAGCTGTCGGCACTGGTGGGGGACACCAAGCCTGCCAACGCCGGCGCCAGCAAAGATGCTGGGGGTGGCAAGGGCGCCAGCGCCGGCCTGTTACCCGCCGAACCGGGGCCCACAGCAAGCAGCGCACCGCAGCAGGCAGCGAGCGAGCGGGCGCAGCCGCAAGCGCAGCAGGAAGCACAGCAGGAAGCGCAGCAGGAGGCTGCGCAGCAGGAAGCGCAGCAGGAAGCGCAGCAAGGAGCACAGCCGTCCGGTCACAGAGGCACTGCGCCAAGTAGCACTTTAGCTCCCAGGGCAGCTCAGCGGAATGGCAGGGACGCAGCCGAGCAGCAGAAGCGGCCGCGCTTGCAAGGGCCTGACAGCTCGGGGCAGCCAGCGCCAGCAGTAGCAGCTGGTGCATCGCAGGAGAAGCCCCAAAGCCAGACACCAGTCGCGAGAAGAAGAAGCCGCAAGAAAAGCATGGTTGACCAGGCATCTGCAATGGGATGCATCTGATTCCAAGGCCAGACAACAATGTGCTGCTAGCCCATTCTATACAGATGCTTGCACTTGTGTACAGATACATGTGATGGAGCAATCGCATGCCATCGTTACAAGGAGAGAAGCAGCAGGGGAACAACTGCAAGTATAGTATGCTGTGGAGGTAGCAACAGTGGGTTTCAGTGCTCAGGTGCAGCCTTCGCCTGTGCATGCGCCACCCTCACCGCTGCTGCCGCCACCAGCACTGCTGCCCGCTTCCTTGAGTGCCATCTGCACCGCCTCCTGGAACGCCTCGGGCGGCTGCGCCCCTGCAGCATGACGGCGTGCGTGCAAGCACGTGAGTCGCCAATCCACTAAGCACCATGGCCAAGGGAAGTTGTACAAGCAGTGAGGGAGCGAGGGGCTGACGCCACATGATGCCAGGCACCTGACAGCGCATAGGTCTTGCTGTCGCCGCTAGAAATGAGGAAGAAGGGCACGCCAGTGACGCGCAGCTGCCCCTTGGCCACGCTGTCGTCCCTCTGCACCTCCCTAAGCAGCTCCCCATCCATCTCGTCTCCCCTGCACAGGACAGCTTGGCCAGCACCACAGCTTGGTCAGGACTGCTTGGTCAGCATGCCAGAACATGTGCCCTGCAGCTCAGATGTTGCTCAGCAACCACCGTGCATGGGTGTCGCTGTGCAGCTTGCCCAGGGTCTTTGCCTGTCAGCGCTCACCCAAACGCCGCCTGCAGCTCTTCCTCTGGCAGCCCCAGCTGGCGCCCCACATCCAGCAGCGTGGCGGCGTCGGAGATGTTGTCACCGGTCTCGTAGCTGCATGCAGTCGTGAGAAGAAACAGGGCATAGCGAGCAGCAGGTCATGGTGCCAGTTCCTGCCCATGTCCTGCCAGCTGCACAGTGGCGCGCGGTTGGTGGCTGCTGCTCCACAGGCTACCTACGTGCCCATGCCAATCGCCACACCCACCTTTTCTGGAACAGCAGCTCGTTGGCCTCGTGGCTCCTGCCATGCTTCCTGGCCAGCGCCACCAGCATGTGCCCTGCAGCAGGCGGCGATTCAAGCGCCTGTCAGGGGAACAGCGTGCATGCCAGTGAAGCTGGTGATGATGACTGGCAGCGCAACAGCGCACCCTTGACCGTGTTGGCCCGCCATTTCCAATTCGCAAATGTCGCGCCGTCTGCCCGCCCCGACGTGGCGACTCGTTGCAAGATGGCCTCCGCTTGCGGCCCAAACTTCTTGCGGAGCGCCTCCTCGATGGGCTGGCCTGCGACGCATTCACGCACCAGCAACATGAGCCAGGTGATGCCTCACCCAGAGGGAGCATAGGAAAGCACGCCTGCGAGCAGCACTCACCGCCAGCAGGGGCATTCCAATCCAGCAGAAACGCATGCCACTCCTTTGTTGCCGACACCTCGGGCATCCCCGCCAGCGCTTTGTCAAGCCGCCGAAGACCCACATAGCACCACGGGCACGCCAGATCGCTGTACACGGTCACTGCAGGGAGCGGTCAAGGCGGGCAGGACCTTTTTCCGCCGCCAGCCCCTGTTCCAGTGCAGCGCAATGGCCACACCCTTCCTGCCCGTCGTGATCTCAATGCAAATAGCATTGCCCTGCCAACGACCCATGCGCACCCACCGTTCACTGAGGCCCGCGACATGTTTGCCAGAGCTCGCGAACCCCCGAAAGAAGGTCTACCGGCAACGGCAGCCCTCAGCAGCATGTAGAGGAAATGGGGAGAGTGTTGCAGTGGCGGGATGATCTAACTCGTGCAAATTCTCACAAATTGTACCGCCCCAAGTACCGCCACACCCGGCTCTGCCCCGACGACCCCCAGGATTGGATCGCCCTCACCCAGAAGCCAACCATCGCCATGGAGGTCGACCAGGCCTCCACCTCGCAGCCAGAGGTGCCAGAGCTGCCGGTGCTGTCCCTGCCGGTGTTGCAAATCGTCAAGGATGGCCAGGGGCTGCACGGCCTGAAGCACTCCGACTACCAACGCTACAGGCAAGCTGCCATCGATGCACGCCCTCCCGGCACCATCACTCCAGCGACGTGCGCTCACCTCCAGCGCCGCCCCATGTGCCGCAGGCAATACTGCAGCAGAAGACTGAGGCGGGTGTACAAAGGCGTCAAGTTTCTGCACGGCAGGGGCCGCTATCAGAAGAAGAAGCTCGAGCCGGAAGCAATCAAGGATGTCAGGTGCCGTATGGGACGCTGCAGTAGCCATGGCAGGCATGCCGATTGGGAGGGAGGGGCTGGGCCGGCGCGCTCGCCCGCCGCTGCCGCTGCCGCTCACCTTCTCCGCTCCTCTCCTCTTGCGCCGCCTGCAGGCACCTGCACATCCCGCTGGTGCAGGCGGAGCGGGCCTGGGCGTATGCCATGGATTTGAAGAGCCAGCTGGAGCAGGACATGGTGCCCCAGAAGCGCCAGCACCTCATCCGCCGCCTGGCCAAGGCGGCGCGCCACGCCGCCGACCTGGTGGCCCTCGCCGCGCAGCGCTGCGACGCGCGCACGCAGGTGCGACAGGGGGCGGCCTACCTGCTGCGAGGCAGGCTGACGCTGAGCGGTCTGGCCTCGCGCCGACAGTGGTTGCCAGACCTGCGGCGGTTGCTCATCTGCCCTCCGTCGGAGCATGTCCACACCGCCTGCCGTGCCCCGCCCGCAGCTGGAGGCGGAGGCCTACTCGCTGTGGATGGCGGGCAGCGTGCTGCTGGAGAAGGAGAGCGACTGGGAGGGGGCACTGGCGCGCTTCCTGCGGGCCAGGTGCGGCGCCAGATGGGTGGCTGGGCCTGGTCTGGTCGGCTGTCCAGGCAGCGGCATGCCGCATGCACATGGGCATCGTATCCGGGCCCCGTCGGTCTGCCCCAGTGCTGACCACACCGTGCATCGCCTGCCTGCCTGCAGGCAGCTGTTTGAGGAGCTGGCTAAAGTGGGCAGCTTTGAGCAGCAGGGCGTGTGCAAGCACTTTTTGGACCAAGTGGACCCCACAGTCAGGTGGGGAAGTGGGCCGGGCTGGCAGCCAGAGGGACGTGGTGGCAGGTGTCGATGGCAGCAGGGAGGGGGCCAGAGGGCTTGTTAGCTGAGTGCAATGCCTCACGACTTGCCCTGGTGGGCTGCTGTGCCGTGCAGGTACTGCCAGTACCAGATCAGCCGCAAGGGCGGCGCCGCGCCCAGCCCCGCCGAGCTGCTTGAGCTCATCGGCGGCAGCGGCACGGATCAGCTGCAGGTGAGCGGGGGCTGCTGGCTGCGCAAGCAGCGTGGAGGCCTGGGCTGCCATTCATGGCTCTCGCATAGGACTGAGATGTTGCTGTCTTCTCCACAACACTCCGTCCGGCACATACGTGAACATCCGCTTGCCTGCACCTTGTTGCCTGCAGTCCAAGATTGCATCGCTGGCGGCAGAGGCACAGGCGGAGAAGGCGGCTGCCACATCGTCGCTGAGCTGGGCGGGGGAGACGTATGCCGTGCGGGAAGAAAAGATCCGCATCCCGCTGCATGCCGCGCAGGCAAGGCGCCGCCTGCTTGCCTTGGCAGATGGTGTTCCGTTGTCCGTGTGGATGGCTGCCACCACCTCACCCATCACTGTTCTCCCTCTGCCTCCTCGCTGCGCCCTGGCGCCTGCAGGAGCTGCAGAGCGAGCTGGATGGAGCGATGGAGGTGGAGGGCGGCGGCGAGGTGGATGCGCGTGTGTCTCTGTATGATCGGATGATCAACGCTTATGGCGAGGCGCGGCAGGCCATCAAGTCGGTGCTGGCGCTGGGCCAGGGTGAGAAGGGAGGGCGGTGGAGGGATGCGCTGAGCAGCCGGCTGGAGCCAGGAGGCTCGGCTGGGGCGGGACGCGCAAAGGGCCACATCGAGGCGTCCCATGTGCAGCGGCAGGTCTGTTCACGGTGGCAGGATCACAGGCACCCATGCAGTGCCAGGGCCGGCCTGCTGATAGCCTTGTGCGCTGCTTGGCGCCTTGCCCGTGCAGGCGGCGCGGACAGCGCGCAGCTGCGGGGGGAGCTGATGGCACTGGACCGCGCGGTGCAGGGGCTGGTGCTGGAGCGCACGATACAGGTGTGTGGGTGTGTGTTGGGGGGCTTGCTGGGCTTGCTGTGCACCAGGGCTTTGCGGCCCTCACACCTCTCCTGTCCCGTTAGCCGCTCGGTGTCTGGCTGGCCGACCTGCGTTATCCCGCTGCCTCCCCGCACCTGCCCCTCCCCTCGCAGCGCAACCTGTTCCTGGCCGGCGACGCGGAGGCGCGGTTTGCGCGCACGCAGCGGCGCCAGCTCAGCGGGCAGCGCCAGCGAGGCGAGCGCGAGCGGCCCGCGCGCGCCGAGGATGTGGTGCGCCTGTATGAGCTGCTGGTGGCCAACACATCTGAGCTGAATGAGCTGGCAGCGCACGTGGGAGGGGCGGCGGGAGAGATGCTGATGGACGACTGCGCAGCCAAGGTGGGGAGTTTTGTCTTCCTTGCTCCGCGCACTGGACTGGACGCACGCTCGTGTTGGGAATGCGTGGGTGGAGCAGCACCCCAGCAGCAGGGGTTGGGGAAACGTGTGGGGGGAAACGGCATTGGTTCCACGCCCCTCCTGCCCCCGCGTGCCTGCAGCAAGCGCACTACCAGGCCGCCCGCTGCCTGTACCTGGCGCACAGCATGCTGGCGGCGGAGAAGTATCGGGAGGCGGCGGGCCTGTTTGGCCGCGCCGCCGACCGCTGCAAGCAGGCCGCCAGGTGGGTGCGCCTGCTGGTGCGGCGTGGCAGTGAGGCAGCGCTGATCAACCGGGCAACAGGTGTCTCTTGGGAGCTCCGCTTTCCTCTCGCCATCGCTATCCCAAGTGCTTGGCTGTGTCTCAACTCTTGTGGGCCTCCTGCCTGCAGCAAGTACGAGGACTGCAGCAAGCCAGATGTGGCTGCCGGGGAGCAGCTGGAGGCACTGGCGCAGCAGGCGGCGGCCTGGGGCGCCGCGGCGGCGGCGGAGCTGCGGGCGGGGGAGCTGCGGGAGAAGGAGGCGGCGCAGGATGGGCTGGAGGGCATGAGCCTGGGGGGCGAGGCGGCAGCAGGTGGGGCTGGCGCCCAGCTGCCTGGGATCATTTGTCTGGGCCAGGGATTGCAGGCCAGGCAGCCATGCGGTGGAGTGCTACACTGCACATGCCCAGCCTCCCCCCGCTTGTGTGTTGCAGGCAGGAAGCGTGGGCGGGAGGATGCGTACCTGGCGGAGGATCTGGATGCCTGGGAGTCTTTCGTGGGGCCCGGCAAGGGCCAGGCGCGCATCTGCAGGTGCGGCACAGGCGCTTCCCTGTGTTCGGGCGCCACTACACGTGCCCACCGGCGCGGCCTCCCTCCCAGCACCCGTTGGCCTCAATCCCTCCAACCCCCTCCTCCCCCGGCCCGGCCCGCAGGATGCCGCCCGCCCTGCGCACCGTGCCCTTCCGCCCCATCTTCCTGGACACCGCGCTCAACTACATCCAGGCGCCAGACCTGACACACCGCCTGCCCGCCAAGCAGCAGCAGCCCGCGGCGACGGGGGCCTTGTCCCGCCTGTTTGGCGGCTGGCGCTGAGCGCCTGGCCGGGCGCAGAGGGCGTGTGGCCGGCCTGCCGTTGCCTACATGGTGTTGTGGCCGGTGCACAATTGAGCCTGTAAAGCAGTGTGGAACCTGCAGCCCCTTGCATGGACCCTTGCACATGGTGCAGTATCGTTTGGCAATGCTCCCTGCTCTTGTCGTCCCACGAAGGGTGGCCCTGGTCGGCCACAGGCGCCAGCTCACTTCCTGGCCTCCTCCTCCTCATCCGTCACCACATCCTCCTCCTCGCTCTCTGGCGGCAGCAGCGGGCCCGCCTCCTTGTACGCCTCCTCGCCTGCAAGGGCGGGGACGCAGCCTTATGCTGCCGTGGCGCATTCATGGCACACTCGGCTGCCGCCATGCAGGATGGTACATCAAGCTGTGGCTGATGGCGGGCCTCCTGCATCCACAGGCATTTGTCCCGCTGGCACCTGCCCACCCACCGGGCGCCTCCTCTGGCGGCGTGTCCTCCTCATCCAGGCGTGGCTCCGGGTGCAGGCGCAGCCGCCGTCGGTGCACGTGAGCGCGCATGCTGCAGACGGCGCATCAGGTGGGGTAGGCTTTGGTCTGGCACCTTCAGCAAACAGCTTGCGCATTGAGAGCTGTCTGCCCCTGCGCCTTCTCTCCGCACCTGTAGTGCTCTGCCTCGTCATCTTCCTCCTCTGTGAGAGTCATGTCAGGCCTGAGGTCTCCCAGTTCCTCCTCCTGCCCCGCGCTGCCAGACGTGGTGGCGCCTGCCGCCGTGGCGGCGCACACCCCCGCGTGAACCGTCTCTGTGCCCTGGCTCCCACGATACCAGCAGGCCTGCAGCCCGGAGGACACCGCAGCGGCAGCTGCAGGGGGTGCCCTTCCAAAGCTGTTGGTGGGCAGGAGGGCTGGCAGCCGCGAAGCTGATGATTGCAGCAACGACAGCATGCTGGCCTTTGGGTTTGGTTTATAACATAGAGGAGAGAACCCTGACTGCTAACTCTGATGGCATGCTGACTAGATGCCATTGGACTCCAAGGTTGGCTGCCTCCTGCCCTTCCCTCCCACGCCCAGCTGTCCTTTTGAGCAGCATGGCCACTGCTGAGCGCCCCCAGGTCAGGGTGCACGTGTACAGCGATGTGGCCTGCCCCTGGTGCTGGGTGGGCTGGAACCGCCTCACCCAAGCCATGGAACACTTGAGCGAGGCAGCGACTTTCGATGTCCGCTGGCACGCCTTCTTGCTGGACCCACAGTTTGCAGAGGGAGGTGCGTGAGCGCGCCGCGGGCATCAGGTGGCGCCACCGCTCAGCGCCAGCCGCCGGTGGTGGCCTAAACCTTGCTCTACAGTACCTGATGAGCAGGGGAGGACATCCAGAGCTTCTACCAGCGGCGCTATGGCTCAGCGGCACACGCCCTGCGCCAGCGCCTGCACGACTCAGGCAAGTGATTTTCCTGATGGGGTTGCCTGGCTCGGTACCTGCTGCACACATCCGCCCGAATGAGTTACAGGCAAGTGGGATGGCGCATTTTTTGCCGACTGGCGCTGGCGGTCCAACACAGCCGGAGCCCACGAGCTGATTGCGCTGGCGGATCGCCGCGGCGCCAGCCACGCCGCCAGCGGCCTGCTCTTCCGCAAGAAGTGAGCACACTGCAGCCGGTGTGCCAAGTGGCGCCTACTGCTGCATTTGCCATGCATGTGGGTATGATAACAAGCAGCTCAAACTGCCACGCTTCGCCTGTTGTGTCAGCTATGAGGAGGGCAAAAACCTGTGCCGAGAGGGGCTACTCAGCGCGGCGCGTGAGCTGGGCCTGCCCGCCGAGGAGGTAGAGGCCTGGCTGGGCAGCCCTGAGGCGGCAGCGGCTGTTCGCAGCGATGATCAGGAGGTCAAGTCCAGGCAGGCACTGCTTGAAGCATTGGGCAGCTGTGGCCATGCTGCTCTCTCCGGGGATGCTTGGATGATGGTGGCACGGCAGGTGGCTGCTGCTGTCCCAACAAGCGTGCATGCCCACCCAGCATTCCATTCCCTCCTGCTGCTGATGCTCTGTGCCCACCGCTGCTCCGCACTGCAGGCGACACATCCACTCGGTGCCCACGTTTCTGATCAGCTGTGGTGCCAGCAAGGTGGTGCAGCTGGTGGGAGCTGAGAGCGTGAAGGCATTCGAAGTGGCCTTCAGGAAGGTCATGCACGAGATGGGGGGCGTGCCGGCTGCTGCGCCAAGCGTGGCGCTGCCAAACGAGTCGGCCAAGCACCAGCATGCGGCATATGGCGAGCGGCCGTCTGCTGCCAAGGCAGCGGCGGAGGAGTGAGGAATGCGGATGTGTGTTCATGCGCGTGTTTCTGCAGATGCACCGCATTCTGGGTGTGGATGCTCAATTTCAGTGTTCTGTTCGTGCCTCACACAAAAACATGCCAGCTGTGCATCCACTGCCCCATGGCGAGCCCGATCCCGTTGGCGATCGCATACCCCAAGCTGCCCGTCAGCATGGCTGGCTGGATCATGTCCTGCCAGCCCTTGGAGGTAGCCATGGCAGCTGCCGTGGCGGGGCCACCCACGTTGGCGTTGGATGCGATGAGCACGGCTTTCATGGGCAGCCGTAGCAGCCTGCCGCCAGCAAGGCAGATTCCCAGGTGGATGCTGCAGGCAGGGGGAGGTGATCAACGTGCCACGTGAACCATCAGTCTAAGCAGGACTTGGAAACACAGCAAGGTACACGAGCTGTCTGCACCTGAGCTGTAGCAGGATGAAAACAACCAGCCAGCCTGAGCCGCGCAATGCCTGCAAACTTCCCGCAGCTGCCCCGATTGTGGCAAAGAAGAGCATCATGAGGGCGCCGCCCAATGCATCAGCCCCGGCAAACGGTGCTGCACCCTGCTGTGGTGGCTGCTCGCTGCTATGGATAGGCGGCGACTGCGCCGCTGCTGCCGCTGCTGCGCTGTCTGCCTGCGGCTTGGTCCGGCTGAACTGTGCTGCAAGTCTGGATCCTAGCATGGCGAGGCCCGAGGAGAGCACCGCCATCACAGCGAGCCCGCTGCTCGCCACTCCGGCTGCTGCCGCAAGGTGGTTGCCCAGGGTGCAGGCCAGCGCTGCTGCGGCCATCGACAGTGCCAGGCTCTCGCCAGTCACTGGTGTCGGGATACTGCCGCCGGGGCCTGACGCGCTGCCGTGCTGCGCAGCTGCTGGCTTCTTGCCCTCGGCTGGGATGGACATGATTGTGGCGATGTACAGCTGCACGGATGCAGGGCGAGTGCATGGGCAGCCGAGCATGGGGCAGTTAGGGGCAGCCGGTCCATTTGTGGCATGGTGCATGTCCATCACCGATCTCCCTGCTGCCACGTGCCCCAGCGCCCATTCCAACCACACACGCCGCACAGCCATTACGCAGCACCCTTCATCCCTCCGTCTCACCGCCATGACGCAATTGTCGGCCGTCATTGCCCCAGCCAGCACCGGCCCCGGGGCGAGGCCCACCGCCTGGCTCACGGCGGCGAAATTCACTGAGCCGCCTATGTAGGAAGCGCACAGCGATGCCGCCACCTTGTAGCCGTCTGGGCCGAGGCGTGGGCCCACCAGCCAAAAGGCCACCGTGGTTCCCACCACGGTTCCGATGGCACCAATCACAAACGCCACCAGGGTGGGCCCCGCGCTGCTCAGCAGCCTGCGGGGTGAGGGCAGGCGGTAGAAGGCCAGGGCGGCTTGATGCACAGGAGAATCAGGGACCAAGCCGGTGCTGACAAGAGGCCGCCCGACGGGAGCTGTGGCAGGGCTGCTGTTGGAGCCAGGGCGGGTGTGGGGCACCACATTCCCTCTGTGGCACGCCATGCGCTTACTGTGAGAGGTCGCCCTCCAGAAGAATGAGAGAAGCTGAGAGCGGCATTAAGTAGGTCCATATAGCATCCGCCGCACTGCTGGCAGTGGGCAGGAGCCCAGTCGCGGCCGCGGCCAGCGCCAGCAGCATAGACACCAGAGGCGCACTGAGCACCGCTCCAAGCGGCGTGCGTCGTTCCACCACCTGGCCCAGAGCTGCGCAGGCGGCGAAGGCCGTCCACAGTGGCCAGCCCTCCTGAAGCAGGGGGCCGCAGCTGGCGAGGGATGGAGCGGCCTGTGTCTGGGGACCATGCCGCTGGTGGCGGTGCTGCCGCCGCTCTTGGTGGGGTGCAAGGCGGCGGTGGGCGGGTTGTGGCGGGGGTATTGCTGAGGGCCTGCTGGTCTGCAGATGCTGAGATCGAGTGCTGACCTCATGTTTCCTGCTGCCATTGCGTCGCTGCATAGATCGGGGCAGCAATGCGGGAGTCAGGCCGGTCCCTGAGGCGACAGCCATGGAGCACTGCATTGTGCAAAAGACGATCAAGCATTCAGCATGCGAGAACGTGAGATTGGATAAGGAGTCCAGTCAGCAACCAGTCAGCAACCTTGGGCACCACGACTGAGCTCCATGGCGGCCCTTATCACAGTGCACATTGCCCTTGGCCGATCCTCGAGATCAAGCCACCTCCTGCCACTGCGCCCCGGTTTGCCTGCCCTCGGACGCCCCGACACTCTCCTCCTTTGGTCCTTGGCGTCTCGCGTGCCCTCGCACCACAGGTGAGCCAGTGGACTCAGCCGGCTAGGGCCATGCCAGCAGACATGCCAGCGGCCCGGGACACTGCCAGCGGCAGGCGGCCCGCGACGCGTCTGCTCGCCTCCGCGGCTGGGTTGGTCGGCACCCCTCGCACACTGCCCATCCTTTTCATGCAGGCGCCTGCACCATGGAGGGCTTTGCCTCCCGCAGCGCCGCCTCCTTGGGAGACCTTCAAGAGGGGCTGCTCCTTAAGTTGCTGGAAGGCGTGCCGCTCGAGGACCGGTGAGGCTGCTCCCTGGCCCAGCCGGGCACTTCAGCTCCCGGCCCTCCCACACCTTTGCATGCTTGCCCCCATGCCTACCTGGCGAGTCTCCGGGTGCAGGCACCGCTCGGTGGCGCTGGTGAGCAAGCACTGGCTGAGGCTGAGCCGCCACGAGCGGCTGCTGAGCACGCTGGAGTTCCAGCTGCCAGGTCACGATATGGTGAAGCGTGCCCGCTCCATAGTGGCATGGCTGACGAAGCATGCCGTGGGCCGCGTGGAGCGCCTGCGCGTCGTCACAGGATTTGACATGCAGGGATTGGGCGAATACAACTCCTCCCACGACACAGCCCTGGAGGAGCTACTTCTTGCCCTGCCAGCCCTCAACACCAATGCCCAGCTGCTGGACCTGGCCTTCGACCTCAATGTTCCTGTCCCAACCTTCCTGCCGCCCCACCAACTCTGGGGCGTCATGCTGAGCAGCGTGAGGCGCCTGCACATCAACTGCGACCTGGGCGGCTATATCATGATGGGTGCTGGGATGCAGGGGATGCTCAGCCTGCAGGACCTGCGGCTGGATGCACCTGCGCTGAAGATGCAGCCCATGTGCCGCCTCCCGCCACGCCTGACCCGCCTGTTCCTCCAGGGCAGCATTGACTGCCTGAGCCAACAGGTTAGCCAGCTCAAGAATGCACCTGCCTTGTGCTATTGGCGCTGACTCACTAGCTCACGGAGCGCATCCCATGCCACGTCCCGTGCAGCTGGGCAGGTTAACCCATCTAAAAAGCCTGCACCTGAAGATATATGGCATCTATGTGTTTCCCAGTATGGCTGGACTGACGGCGCTGCAGCGCTTGGAGATGGAGAGATGTAGGCAGGTGAGACAGCCTCGCCCCAACGTTCCCCAATGCATTTGAGTTAAGCCCAGTGTGTCCCACATATGCGCCACCGGCCTGGTCATGCACACCTGGCTGCTCCTGTGTGTGCAGCTGCCGCCATCCCTCTCAGAGCTGACCCAGCTGGACACTCTAGTTTTGGACAGAACACCACACGGCACCGATGAGGAGAAGACTGCCGCGCTGGAGGCAGCATTGCCACCGCTGCAGCACCTCACTCAGCTGGTACTCAAGGGCATGCCTGGTGTGGCCCCTGCTGCACTGGGGGCCCTCAGCCGGCTGCAGCGCTTTGGGGTGGAGGGGACGGAGAATGAGAGCCAGGTGCTGCCTCGTGGTGCCTGGCTGAACAGCCTGCGCGAGGTGGCGCTGCCGCCACAAGTGTTGGCGGCCAACTTGGGAGTCCTGTCTGGTGCCGTGGCTCTGGAACGAGTGGATGTCCGCAGTCTGTTTGGTGCGTCTGTCTTAACGCAGACTGCCATATTGCGCTGGGTGGCGGAGCACCCCTCAGTGAGCCGCCTGGCCATGAGCACCGCGGGTGCCCACTGCAGCGAGGCATCCTTCCGCGCGGTGGTGGGAGCGATGCAGCGCAAGCCCTCCCTCGCATTTGACTTTGGTTACCGGTCGAGCAGCGACCGCTTGTGGCCCGAGCCACCCGCCTTTTGAGCCCTGGAAGCTATCTGCACCGCTCGTTTAACCGAAACCCACTCGACCGCGAAGGTGGCGTCCTGCCTTGTGCCCTGTCTGCTCGCCTTCCTGTGCCCCGGCTTCCTGGCAGGCGCCTCCTTTGCTGCTTGCCCTTTGAATGTGCTTTCCCCAGGTTCTCTTGAAGCTTTCTTTGTGGGTAGAGTGTGTGCTGCTATTTTTCTGTTGCACAGGTGTGTAGGGGTTGGGCCTCTGTTGCAATCTCCAAGGATCTTGAACAGTTACATCCTTGTAAATTCAGTTGCATTCAGGCAGGATCAGTACAGGGCAGAGGGAGAGCAGCGCGGCGAGGACAGCAACGGCTGAGCCCTCAAAACAAGTGTTGAGCAATCAGGGCAATGGATGCAGGGGGGGGGGGGGGGGTACCCCCCCCGTCGGGGGAAAATTACAGAGCGGG